TGTCATAAAAGTTGAATTATCTCATTCAACCAAAGTAATATATGCTTTTGGATTTACGCCGATTGTATTTTCATAGTCTTCTTTTATTAAAAAAAGATGCTTCTTCTCATCTCCTTTTCCTTCAGAAAGAACCTCATCAGATAATTTTAGTGTTTGAGTTTGCAATGGTCACTGAATTTTCTACTACAGTCTCATTATGCCAATCAACTTTTACCATGATTACATATGGTATTTTTTTTCAATTAAACTAACAGGCATAAACTATTTATTACTTCCTGAAGCTGAAACTTTACTATTACATTCACTAGAGCTCTAGGTCAGGCATCACCAAGCATGAAAGCATTCGCGGGAGGGCAGGCTGCGGCATACAAGATGTTTGAGACAATCAACAGGGAGCCAGAGATCGATGCGTACAGCGCCACAGGTAGGAAGCTAGATGACATTCAGGGGGATATCGAGTTCAGAAACGTTTACTTTTCGTACCCGACAAGGCCCGATGAGCAAATATTCAGAGGGTTCTCGCTTGCCATACAGAGTGGAACAACTGTTGCATTGGTTGGACAGAGTGGGAGTGGAAAATCAACAGTCATCAGCTTAATCGAGCGGTTTTACGACCCTCAGCTCGGTGAAGTTCTAATTGATGGAGTGAATCTCAAGGAGTTGCAGCTAAGGTGGATCAGAAGTAAAATTGGCCTTGTGAGCCAGGAGCCAATCTTGTTTGCTGCTAGCATTATAGATAACATAGCTTATGGCAGGGATAATGCTACAAATCAGGAAATTAGAGCTGCAGCTGAGCTTGCTAATGCCTCCAAATTCATTGATAAAATGCCCCAGGTCAGTGGACTGCTTAACCCCTTGAACTTGTAAATAGTACATCAATAACTGCATAAATTGTGTTGAAAACTAGAAATGGCTACATATAGAAGAATTTTAGCTATTAAGAGAAGCTTGAACTATATATTCTGTATCATATATTGAGCATCTGTAGGTCACAACATGTCACAGGGTTTTGCTACTTTGGTTGGTGAACATGGAACACAATTATCTGGTGGGCAGAAGCAAAGAATTGCCATTGCCAGAGCAATTCTGAAAGATCCAAGGATTCTACTACTGGATGAAGCAACCAGCGCTTTGGACACCGAATCCGAAAGGATTGTGCAGGAGGCTCTTGACAGGGTCATGTCAAACCGGACCACCGTCATAGTCGCTCACCGTTTGACCACTGTCAGGAATGCTGATACTATTGCTGTCATCCATCAAGGATCAATAGTTGAAAAAGGTATCTTCTCAAGCATTGATATTTGCTAATGAAAGTAGACATTTATCCTATTTCATATTTTATATGCACCAAATTCTCATTGCCTCAAACATTTCCACATCACTAGGTTCACACCATGAGCTCATAAGTGATCCAGATGGAGCGTATAGCCAATTGATACGCTTACAGGAAAACAGTCATGATTCTGAGGATGCAAATTACCAGAACAAGTCAGGCAAGAAGAGTGATTCTGGGATTCGCTCGGGCAAACAATCGTTTTCGTACCAGTCGACTCCTCAGAGATCATCTAGGGACAACAGTAACAATCACTCATTCTCAGTATCTGCTACTCCTCTAGAAATTGATGTCCAGGGTGGTTCACCAAAGAAGATAGCTGAAGAAACACCACAGGAAGTGCCTCTCAGTCGCCTCGCAGCGCTTAACAAACCAGAGATCCCAGTGCTTCTGCTTGGTTCTGTTGCTTCTGCTGTCAGTGGAGTTATCTTCCCAATCTTTGCGATACTTTTATCCAATGTGATCAAAGCATTTTATGAGCCCCCACAAGTGCTAAAGAAGGATGCTGAGTTTTGGTCATCGATGTTCTTAGTGTTTGGGGCAGTGTACTTCTTGTCACTTCCTATTGGCTCATACCTTTTTTCAGTGGCTGGGTGTAGGTTGATCAGAAGGATCAGACTGATGACTTTTGAGAAGGTTGTAAATATGGAGATTGAATGGTTTGATCATCCAGAAAACTCAAGTGGATCAATCGGAGCAAGGCTATCGGCCGATGCAGCAAAAATTAGGGGGCTTGTGGGTGATGCACTTCAACTGGTTGTGCAGAATTTAGCAACATTAGTTGCTGGTTTGTTGATTGCTTTTATATCAAACTGGGAGCTATCTCTGATCATCTTGGCGTTGATACCACTCATCGGCGTCAACGGATGGATCCAGATGAAGTTTATTCAGGGATTCAGTGCAGATGCAAAGGTAATCATAAAAATGTTGAAACACCAAATTCTTTTGTTTCAGTCAATCTTTTAGCAAATCTTGTATCTTCAAATTCTTTTGCCTTGGATACTCAAATTTAGATAGTTTGTCAACACTGACATTGATTCTCAATTATTACTGCAGATGATGTATGAAGAGGCAAGCCAAGTGGCAAATGATGCAGTGAGCAGCATAAGGACAGTAGCCTCATTTTCAGCTGAAGAGAAGGTAATGGATTTGTACAAGATGAAATGTGAAGGACCACTAAGAACAGGAATCAGGACGGCGATAATAAGTGGTATCGGTTTCGGTGTTTCTATCTTCCTGCTGTTTGGAGTCTATGCAGCCAGCTTCTATGCCGGTGCTCGGCTTGTCGAGGACAGGAAAACAACATTTCCTAACGTTTTCAGGGTATGTGCAGTGTTCACTACAAGATATTTACAGACTCAAACTTTTAAACTTTTTAGGCACTTGCATGTCAATATGCTAGTTGAAGATTTGCACGTCAATATGCTAGTTGAATATAGATTTTTCAAAGGGGCATTGAGATTTAAACTTCAAGGTGGCTAGTTTGTTATAAATGATGCAATGCTTAGGCTTAGTTAAATATAATTTCAAAGTGAAAGATATCATATCTTGGGCATCTTATTGCAGGTGTTTCTTGCTCTCACAATGGCAGCAATTGGGGTGTCACACACTAGCAACCTCACATCAGATTCTTCCAAGGCAAAATCAGCTGTATCTTCTATATTCGCCATCGTAGACCGTAAATCTAGGATTGATCCAAGTGATGATGCTGGAGTGAGCTTAGAACCACTAAGAGGCGATATCGAGTTCCAGCATGTGAGCTTCAGATATCCTACACGACCAGATGTTCAGATCTTTGAAGACCTGTGCTTAACAATTCAATCTGGAAAGGTACCAAACTCCCTAATTTCAGACTATTAACCTATTAACAAACACTATAAAGGTATCTGAAACTAAACCTAATGTTTTTATCTGGCAGACTGTTGCTCTTGTCGGAGAGAGCGGTAGCGGGAAATCGACAGCGATATCATTGCTTCAGAGGTTCTATGATCCGGATGCAGGCCATATACTTCTAGATGGAGTGGACATTCAAAAGTTTCAGCTAAGGTGGCTAAGGCAACAGATGGGTCTAGTGAGTCAAGAACCAGCTCTGTTCAATGACACGATTCGCGCAAACATCGCGTATGGGAAGGAAGGGGATGCGACAGAATCAGACATCGTATCCTCCGCGCAATTGGCGAATGCGCACAAGTTCATCAGCTCATTGCATCAGGTGAAATTCAAATTCCCGTCCCAACCAGCTCACCCTCATTCATTCAGACATTGTGTTCATGTTTCTGACAGAAAATGTGTTACCTGAAAAAAATGCAGGGATATGAAACCATGGTCGGGGAGCGTGGAGCTCAGCTATCCGGAGGGCAGAAGCAACGCATCGCGATCGCCCGCGCCATTGTCAAGGATCCCAAGATCCTCCTTCTCGATGAAGCCACGAGTGCGCTCGACGCAGAATCGGAGCGCGTCGTCCAAGATGCGCTGGACCGGGTGATGATGAACAGGACCACGGTGATCGTGGCACACCGGCTGTCCACAATTCAGGGCGCAGACATGATCGCGGTGGTGAAGAACGGGATGATCATCGAGAAGGGGAAGCATGATGCATTGATCGGCATCAAGGATGGAGCTTACGCCTCCCTCGTCGCCCTCCATGTTTCTGCTGCTGCCATTTCGTAGCAGATCTAGCAGACGCCATGGATGAAAAGATCATGGTTTGTTGCTGAATCTGTGAGAGGAGCAAGAGACTGGTGTAACTGTAGCTTGTGCAGGCTCCAGCTCTTGTCATCCAGCAGCAGCAGCAGAAGAAGAAAAATTTGATGAACACAAATATGTCATGTATACATAGATAGATAAGATCATACAAAGATGTGCAAATGTAAATGCAACGAGTTGTATGAATGAATGTTCATATGATATGAAGCAGATGATGATGATGATATGGATATTCATTGGCATAGTTGTGATGCTTTGTTCTTGTTCTTGCCTCCAAAGTTTCCCCCCATATAAGAAAAGAACCTGATGATTGGATTTAATCTTTTTTTGAAACCTAATGATTGGATTTAATCGAGAAACAAGAATCAGCTGAGCAAAGATAATCTTAAGAGGGCAAGCCAATTTGCTAAAGCAAACACAATTTTGTCAACAGTGACTTGAGAGTCACTGGATAATTAATCAATGATGAACCTCCTGTAAGAAACTGAAGATGTACCAATTTCATTAGGATGAAGAGATAATCCTAATGCTGCAGATAAACTCTTCCAAAGCAATGAAAAAAACAACAGGTTCAACACTTGACAGTAATATATCTTTAGTTATCTTCAATTTTTTTTTTGTGGAAAAGAAAATCTGAAGTTCTGAATTTTCTTACTCCCGGTGCAGGGCAGACACGGTCCACGGAACGAGCGACCTCGACGACCAGTCAAACCGCCGCGTGCTGCTGACGTGGCAGTCATCTCAGCCGTCCAAACTCGTCTACCGCCAACCAACAGCCAGGATCTCTCCCCCCCACGACCACCGCCTCATTGGTCCACATAAGCCGCAGCCCACCGCCCAGCCAACCACGGCCTGCCACGTACGAACCCAAGGGGCAAAACCGTAAATTCCTAGCAACCCAGACGCCGACGCGTCGACTCGTCGCAACGCAACCTGAGGAGGGAAAAAAAAGAGAAAAAGAAAAAAAGAAAAGGAATAAAAATAAAAATAAAAACGCGCGGAGAGATAGCGTCGTAGCGTGCGGTGCGCAGGTGGGGTCTCGTCTCGTCGCCGGTGAAGCCGCCGCCATGGAGCTCACCGGCGCCGCCATCCGGGGGTCGCTGGCGACGGCCGCGTCCCCGGTGGTGCTGAGGGGGAGGGGGAGGAGGTGCGCGGCCAGGGTTTCCTGCGTCGGGCGCGGAGGCGGGGGATTTGGCGATGAGGGGCACCTCAGGTACTACGAGGCGCCGCCGCGGAAGGCGGTGGAGGCGGTGGCGAGGGACCTGGCCAAGCTCCGCCCCATGGGGATCGCCGCCGGGGACGCGGCCAAGGAGAAGGTCCTCTCGGTGAGACCCTCGATCTCTCTCTCTCTCCTAGGTTCTTGGATTTCCCCCTTTCTGTTTAGGATTGGGAATAATATGAGGGAATCTGAGTATGCCCTAGAAGTTGTCACAAAAGTTAGAGGATTAATTTGATGACGGTGGATTGATGGCGGTAGGACGTTTGATTTGGTCGCGCAATTGTAATCATAAAAATTGTTCGTTTTCTTGTCTAATATTTCAGTCTTTTGGGCAAGTATGAGAGGTTGATATGGATTTTACTTTTTTAGATGATGGATAAACCGGCCTCTATGTCAAAGACACGTAAATCCCGGATATGGATTTGATTGTATTGATAGTTGTAGACAACAATTTTGCTGAGATTAACAATGCAATATTTTGCTTGAACTTTACTTGGGTTGTAAAAATTAGACAGATGATTCGTTTTGTAGTGTGACATTTGTGTGAGCTAGGAGCTTAGGACTAGAATTGAATTGCTGCAAATGTTTTAATGCAGGAAGCCACAGAGCTACTGCTGGAGGAGTTGAATCGAATGAGGGATGAGGAGGGCGAACTGAAGAAGAAGATGAAGGAGGACAAGGATGCAATGAAAGCACTCAAGAAGCAGCAGAAGGAAGCAATGAAGGCTGCCACGACGATGAAATGCAATGATGATGACTCCTCTGAATCAAGTGAATCAAGTGAGAGTGAGTGTGAGGAGCAGATGATGACAATGAGCTGCGTTGCCACTGTTACCATGCCGCAAATTGGGGAAGGCGTTGCGATCTCAACGACAGTTCCCCAAGTTGCTGCATCCGATGTCGCAACAGCACCAGCAATGGAGTATGACAAGGCTGCAATGAAGGCCATGAAGAAGAGAGAAAAGGAAGAGAAGAAAGCCGCAAAGATGGCTATGAAGATGAAGAAGAAGGAAAAGAAGATGGCCACATTGACTCTCTGCAAGGATGAAGACAGCACCTCATGCTCCTCAGAATCTAGCGACAGCGAGTGCGAGGAGGTTGTCAGAATGAGCTGCTGTGCTACGATAACCACACCACAAACACAACCCTCGAGCACCGTTTTCCCTATAATACTGCCCCAGATTCCAGAATCAGTGACACTGGAGCCATGCCAAGATGCTCAGATCTCATCAGAACCTGCAAATACAATGTTGTCCACCACTGCTACCATTGCAGTAGTTGAGAAGCCGATGACGAACAGAATTGAGGTCTGCATGGGAGGCAAATGCAAGAAATCGGGCTCCCTCGCGGTGCTGCAGGAGTTCGAGAAGAAGGTGGGCACTGATGGTGCGGTCGTTGGCTGCAAATGCCTGGGGAAATGCGGTCTAGGCCCGAATGTGCGGCTCCGGAGCGAAGGCGCTGCACAGAAGAAGAATCCCCTCTTCATCGGAGTAGTGTTAGAGGATGTTGGCACCATAGCTTCAGGCTTGTTTGGAGGCGGTGATGACCTGGGCATGGTGAACAACTAGCCCAACCTTTGCCTTACCTATGATGATGTGTACTGAGCAATAGTAGTATTACAGCAAAAAAGTATGGTATAATCACGCCCCTGCTAAAGTTGATGTAACATATGAACCCTATGTATGTTGATCCAGAAGAGATGAATGTTTCATGTTGGAAATGCAATCTGTGATGGTTTCATGTTTTCTTGTCTGGAAATGAGGTCGATATGGAGGATGATTTTAGCATGTAGAACTGGATCGTCAGTTTTGGACACAAATGGGCCCTGTACAGTTGGGCTGGGCCTTCCTTCCTGAAGGAAATTAATCTCATGGGCCATGAAGCTTAAACCGTCCATCCATGGAGTCCTCCGCCATTGGTCCACGTGGCCCATCCTCTCACCAGTCAATCAGTCGCCATGGTGGGTACTGGGTAGCTGAGCTGAGCCTGCGAGAACAATTGAGATCCTGCAGTACTGCTCACTGACATGTGGGCCCGGGGGCTGTGGGGCCCACATGTCAGTGAGTGCAGTACTGCAGACGACCTGCATCCCTGCGAGAAGACGAGAGAAATATCCAGTAGCCACAGCTGCACACCAACCTGTTGCTTTCGCCTTCAGTTTTTTCTTTTTTCTCCACCTGTTTCTTGCTCTACTGTAGGAGTATTTATGCCAATCTTTTTCTTCTTTTTAATAATCTCTCATCTTTTCCACGCTACTACTCCAACAATTCATTCTTTGGAATATCCATCCGGAGCTCCCCATGCCGTCGTCACCACTGACATGTGGGCCCCACCTGCGGAGTGGTCGGTGGGCCCACCTCCGAGCTTCCCAATGGGTTTCTCTCACCTCACCTGTCTGAACTCTGTTACTCTGATGAAGTCTCAAGAGAAGAAAGAGAAGAGGTTGCTGTATTTATCGTCTTTGTCCTCATCTTTCTTTCTTGCTTTCCTCTACCTTGACTTTGGCTTCCCCACTCTCTCTTCTTCTTGGGAGGCTGGGAGCTACCAGCACAACACACCAAGGAAGCTGAGGTGAGAACGATTGATTACTTTGCTGGCTGCTCTTAGCTACTACTACAACTGTTTTGTCTTAATCGGTTGATTACATCTCATATTTCATCGGTTTAGCTCGCTCTGTTAAGATTTCTCACCTCCTCTTGGATGTATTATTCATGTATATGTTGTGTGGTCTGGCTAAGTTTTTGGTCTGTCCTGATAAATGCTGTTTAAGGATTCTTTCTTTGTTCTTTTTTTTTATGGACAAAATATAATCTTTGTGCCTTACTGTGAATTGAGTCTGTTGGCTATATCGTTCCCGGTTTATTGGACTATAGATGAACATGTAACCCTATATGCGGTTGTGTTTTCTCCTTACAAAGATCAGTAGTACCTAATTCAGCTAGTTAGAAGTGGTACCAAGGCTGTAAATTTCCATCTTTTTCTCTGTGAGGTTCATTTCCCTTTTAATCTCTGTTTCGTGAGAAATACCCCACTGTTTGACTTCCAGTAAATCTGTTCTCTATTTCTAGTTCAGTTAACCTGCTATTATTGATTCTACAATTTAAGCATAATAAAGATTAATGTCTATTAGTTTTCTCAATTGATCATGTGGCACGTATTTTAGCAGGTGCGTTGATTTCTTGATATCATGGCCAAGAGGCACCTCTTGTTGGTGACAACTTGTTTGTGGGCTCTGTCATGTGCCTTGCTGCTTCATGCTTCCTCTGATGGGTTCCTGAGAGTCAACCTCAACAAGAAGAGATTGGACAAGGAAGATCTCACTGCCGCCAAGTTGGCGCAGCAGGGCAACCGTCTTCTGAAGACCGGCAGTTCAGACAGTGATCCTGTCCCTCTGGTGGACTACCTCAACACCCAGTACTATGGGGTGATTGGCCTCGGCTCACCGCCGCAGAACTTCACGGTGATATTTGACACTGGAAGCTCCAACCTGTGGGTTCCTTCAGCAAAATGCTATTTTTCGGTGAGTTCCTGTGTTGCGGATTGATCTATGTGGTTTTGTTTTTTAACATGAATGCACTGTGTCCACACTACTTTCTATGGGACTTTGATGTCTGATGTGAATGCACTGCACTGCAGATAGCATGCTACCTCCACAGCAGATACAACTCGAAAAAGTCGAGCTCTTACAAAGCAGATGGTATGTATATCTTTTTCTTTTCAAGTAGAGTCTTTTAAGTATGGGTCTCATTTGTGCACCATTCAAGAGGAATTACTGAAAATCCCCCCATTTTCTCTCAACTGTTCAGGAGAAACTTGCAAAATTACATACGGTTCTGGGGCAATTTCTGGATTCTTCAGTAAGGATAATGTGTTGGTTGGAGACCTTGTAGTGAAAAACCAGGTAATTGAATGAGAGTAATAGAGTAGTAATTCTTCTTTTTAGCATTTATGTATCATATTCCTAATGCTGCAGTTCTTTTCCCTCCCATCTGGCTATTTCAGAAGTTCATTGAGGCAACACGCGAAACAAGCGTTACCTTTATCATCGGAAAGTTTGATGGAATTCTTGGTCTTGGCTACCCTGAAATCTCTGTTGGGAAAGCTCCTCCGATTTGGTACGTTTTCAAGCAATTTTAAGCCACCATCATCGCCTCAGCGGCATTTCATAGTCACCTGTAATGTACCTTCTCTCTTCTGTGCAACAATAGGCAGAGCATGCAGGAGCAGGAACTGCTTGCAGATGATGTCTTCTCGTTTTGGCTGAACCGAGACCCGGATGCATCCTCTGGTGGTGAGCTCGTCTTTGGTGGCATGGATCCGAAGCATTATAAGGGGGATCACACCTACGTCCCTGTTTCCCGCAAAGGCTACTGGCAGTTTAACATGGGGGATCTCCTTATTGATGGCCACTCAACTGGCTTCTGTGCAAAAGGCTGTGCTGCTATTGTCGACTCCGGAACTTCCTTGCTTGCTGGTCCAACAGTATGTATTATTAATATCTTCAAATTAAGGATCCAGATCGCCTTTATATTTGTTTGTTCATGGTTACTGAGCTCAAAGTTTCCATGCTAAGATAAAGTAGTTGATTGGTCAAGGTAGATAGTTTTCACTGACATATACAAATATGGAGAATACCGCTAGGTATTGAGTAAAATAAAATAAAAATGGGACCAATCTAGGAAGGATTAGATTGATTTTGAATTAAGGAGGGGGTGAGGCTCGAACCCTGACCGGCTAGCTCGCAGCTTGCGTTGCTAGCCGGGAAGACCCCGGACCTTTATCATTGAGTATGGCTGTAATATTGAGCAATATGGTGTGACTTCTAAAATCTTTGCACCTTCTGTTATTTCCAGGCTATAGTTGCTCAGGTGAACCATGCTATTGGGGCTGAAGGAATCATCAGCACGGAATGCAAAGAAGTGGTTAGCGAGTATGGAGAGATGATCCTCAACTTGCTCATAGCACAGGTTTGCTAAGCTCTTTGCTGTATTTTACAGACTTCTGTGCGACCTAAGCATGGAACAGACGCTGTGTCGTGATTGTGTTGTGTGAGTTACTCTTGAACTCTAGTAATGTGCTGATGTTTTGTGTCTGAGCAGACAGATCCGCAGAAAGTATGCAGCCAGGTTGGTCTGTGTATGTTTGACGGTAAACGCTCAGTAAGGTTAGTTCATTATCTAGTAATTTTCCAATATACATGGAACTACTCTTTTGAATATGTGATATGTATTCTTGTTTGGCAAAAATTTCTGCAGCAATGGGATTGAATCTGTTGTCGACAAAGAAAACTTGGGTTCTGATGCTATGTGTTCAGTTTGTGAGATGGCTGTTGTGTGGATAGAGAACCAGCTACGCGAAAATAAAACGAAGGAGCTGATATTGAATTATGCTAATCAGGTTACTATCACTGTGTCCACACTACTTTCTATGATTCTCAAATTATGTAATTGCTGACAAGGTTTTGCCTTGCATTCCAGTTATGTGAGCGTCTACCAAGCCCCAATGGAGAATCAACTGTCAGCTGCCATCAAATCTCGAAGATGCCTAATCTTGCATTCACCATTGCAAACAAGACATTTATTCTTACACCAGAGCAGGTTCGTGATAGTCTCTCCTAGCTCATTTTGCCAATATTAGTCGGGTCTTTTTCTTTCAGCATGGTATTGTTTTAGGTAAATTTTTTTGACGCATTTGTTTTAGGTAAATGATCGATCAAATTATTGTACCATTTGAATCATGTGCTTTCTACAAGGTCAAACATCTGCTATTGTTTGTTTACCATAGATCTCCTGTAGGATCCTGATGCATTTGAAGTTGTTTACTATTTCAAACGTATGAAGTTAAATAGTGAACTTGATATTTGCAATCATGAATATCATTTGCTGATTTATAGTGAATAGTTTGAATCAAAACCTTTTTCACCATGGTAGTCAAGTGAGGTGATTAATATATGAAATACGATTGGCCTTTTTCGTTCGCTCTCTTCAGTTCTTCCTGCATTGAGATGCAAATTTTACCTCAAATTCCTTACTGTCCATAGTCATCACATCATTATTAAATTTTCTAACATTTGCAATATGCAGTACATCGTGAAACTGGAGCAAGGAGGGCAAACCGTCTGCATCAGCGGGTTCATGGCGTTCGACATACCTCCACCACGCGGTCCTCTTTGGTACGCAGCATAACTTATATGCCAATACCTGGCCTCATTATCATTCTGTCTTCTGAATCTCCAAATTTCGCATGAACTCACAAAATTTTGCATGAACTTTGCCACAGGATTCTTGGAGATGTCTTCATGGGTGCTTATCATACGGTTTTCGACTTCGGCAAAGACAGGATCGGGTTCGCTAAATCTGCATGAAGAGTGTATGTAGATCACTCTTCAGATCACGGAGATTAGCCTGTATATTTCATAAGCTGAAACCAAACATGTATGGTTTTATGATATATAGTAGCTAGTACACGGACAAACCTCTTTGGTTGCTTCTTTCTGAAGAAAAAAGAAGAACAGACATGGATGTATGATCTACCTGATGTGTATAAATTGAATGATGCAGTCTGAGAAATAATCCTCTGATCATATTGTGGATTCTGAAATATATCCGAGTTTCTTTTTTCAACAAAGATGATGCGTTCCAAGTGTATATATGGGCCGTTGACATATTGATGGGCCGCATGTTTGAGATTGAAGGCCTTGATCGGCCCAAAATTGGATCGCTACATTGGGTAACGATATCCAAATTTGGCCGAAATGTTGGTCTTGTGATCCAATTTAGGCCCAAATTTCATAAGTGGATCTCACAATGTGTTCAATGGGCTGTTGAGAATGGACGTAGATTAAATTTTGCTAAATTTAAGTTTCAAAAAGACTAAACCTTCTCTATAATAACCTCTCCAAAAATATGAATATACCAAGAGAAAAATTCATGTACAACAGCAAAACAGTAATACAAACCGACGTGTACGTACGTATCTACGGCGTATTTATATACGCATACGAATGTACAGCTAAGTACGTATATGCATGTATCCCATCGACGGCGGCGGCGTCAGGTGGGAGACGTGCCGCAAGGCTGCGTCGCCGCCGCCGCGGCGCGTGCTCCGGCAGTGGCGTGGTCGGCGCCGCCGCCTCCGTTGATGTCTCCGGCGGCGTCACTCCCGCCGCGTGGAGGTGTTCGAGCTTGGGCGCCGCCTCCCGCCATGATCGAGGAGAGCGCGGCCGCCACCGCCGTGGTGAAGTTGGGGTCCCTGGTGATCGCGGCGGTCATCGTCTCCACCACCGACGACGGCGGGGGCAGGACGACGGGCGGCCGGTGCGAGCCGCCGCCGGCGCCGTACATCGAGAACGGCAATGAGGAGAAGGCATAAGGGCGGTGGAGCTGGAGCATGGCGGCGGCGGCGGTGGTCGTCGTCGTCGGCGGCGGCTGGGTGAGGTCGAGCGTGATGGTCGGGAACGGGGCGGAGGCGGAGAGCGTGGCCATGGTGGACCCGGCGTAGGGGTGGTGGAAGAAGGGCGGCGGCGCGACGACGTGGTGGTGGGCGGCGAACAGCGCGTCGCGGCTGACGGCGGGGCCGGAGAGGAGCATGGCGGCGGCGGCGGAGGTGGTCTTGGCCATGGCGGCGGCGGCCGGCGGCAGCGGGTGGCTGTGGGTGCCCTCGTAGGTGGTGATGAGGATGCTCTTGTCCTCCGCGCATCGTTGCACCTGCACGTACACAAATTATTTCAGTTTTTTAGTCACCGTTAATTACTTAATTTTCATCTCTTTTCGCGCAAATTACTGTATTAATTAGTTAATCCCTCGATCTAGCCATAGCTAATTAAATTGATGTTTAAGATAAAATTTGATCAAAATTTTTAAAACTTCAACGACTATCCGTAGCTAGCTTCTTAATTACTTTTCTAAAAATTAATATGTACTTCTCTGTTAAAATATAAGCATGTTTAGATTATTTAGCAAATAGCCAAAATACGTCCCGAGGGAAAAAAATTTCCTCCCAGTAACAAAATTTAAAATTTTGAATTGTTTATGTGCCTCTCAAGAACATACTACGTACTCTCTTAGTGGGCTAAAAATGTAGGGATTTTCGTGAATTAGAATCAGTGTATCAGAAATGCAGGATAATCTGGTGCAAAATTCGAGTTTTAGAAATGCTTATACTTTGTTACGAGGGAGTATAGATTAACAATTTAAAAGTACCGAAGTAATTATATAGATTTTAAAAGAAAATGATAAAATCTTATTCCAAACATAGCATATATATTTGCTAGAGTGTTTATTTTCTTTTCTTGGATGCTCGTATAAGCCAAACAAGTTGCAGATTGAGATATTTTTATTCGATGATTGACTAATATTTCAACTTGGACAATATGTGTCAGGGTTTTGGTGGGACGTCATGATTTGTGCTTGGAATAAATTAGTGCAGCTAATCCATCATGCTGTTAATTTATATATATATATATATATATATGGACCAGTAGGGTCAAGTAAGATACAGAAGAGATTTGCAGCCATGTTGTTAATTAATTATTATTCATTTATATCGTGTGCAAAGGGTGTATCCTGCAAGCCAATGACCTTGTACTAATATATACTATATATGTTCACATTAGTGCCTACGTGCCCTTTAAAAAATTGTACACATTTGTAGTATGTTTTCTTGGAGTTGTTCATATACTTTCAATATATATAAAAATGAGGTACAAATAGCAAATAATAAATTTCCATGGTACTATATATCTATTCCGAGGTAGCGGTAGTACGTAGTACTACTAATTAATTAATTTGATAGTACATGTTCTATTGTTTTCTATTTAAGAATTGCAATAAGCAAATTGTCATATATTCCTTGATCGATTGCAGGGTGCCCAGGAATAATATGTTGTCCTATCTATATGTAAATATTGCTACCGATTCATATTGAAATGAACAAAGTGTACTTTTGGCACGAGGCCGGCACTAATTTAATCGGTTTCCCTCGACATTTTATGCTGGTCCATCATATAGAAAATATCCCCAATTTATTCCTGTTCTCAACAATTATGACAACACCCAATAGATCAGGACATTCAGCTCCCAAAACAATTTTACGAATAATGACTTAGATGGTTGTTGCTTATATAATCTTTTACATATATATCATGTTTGGAACATATCCGTGCACATAAGTTTCCCGTGAATATTTTGTATACACAACTAGCAAATGTCACAGAAAATTCTAGAAAAGTTTAGACACATACTCAGGTTAATTAAATAGTTGCTCTAATTAACAGACATTGTGTGAGAGAAAACTAATAAAACATACGTGTGCTACAAACGCGGAATCAGTAATATTGGAGTAATAATCTTCTAAAAAATATACAAAAGACTAGTGTAGATGATGTACCTGTTTTCTGACGGGGCATTGCGAAGCCATTGTGCATCGGTAGTAGGCTCTAGGGCAAGGGTTACCCTTGGCCATCTTCTGCCCGTACTTCCTCCATTGGCATCCATCACTGATCTACATATATAAACATGTATATATGCTTAAAGTTAATTTAATTACTGATTATAAAGCATATATATAACTTTCAGTTTTTTCATCAGCTATATGGTGCATGTGTAATAGCCGGTTTAATTTGCAATGAAGTTCACAAGTACTCCATCCGTTTCAGGTTAATTATAAGACTTTCTAACATTGTTCATATTTATATAAATGCTAATAAATCTAAGTACACATATATATTTAGATTCATTAATATATATAAATATGGGCAATACTAGAAAGTCTTATAGTATGAAACGGAGGAAGTATAATACACTACGAATAAAATTAATTACTTACCATTGGAGCCTCGGATCGTGCTCGCACCGACACCCTGGCCTTCCGGCACGGCGCCATCTCCGCCGCCGGCGCCTGCTCGCCGCCGCCATTATTCTCCCCGCCGCTGCCGCTCTCCGGCGTCAGCCGCGTTAACGTCGCTGCCGCCGCCGGCCTCTTGCTACCAAGAGAAGGCGACACGTTCTCGTCGCCCTCGCCACCATCAGAGTCAGCTGTTCTATCGCCGTCCACCGCCGCCGCCGCTCGTCGCCGGTGGCTCGCCGGAGACGCCGCCGCGAGCGCGTCCAGCAACTGCACGCCGGCGATCGGAGCCTACACCAATCGATCGAACAGTAGCACGTACGTCAATTGCTATTACTGATAAAGACTAAAGTGATCGAAAAAATCAAGGATTAGCATGTGCCAACTACTACTAAGTAAATGCAGCTTAGCTTCAGTTTCAAGTTCTTTTGTGTTTGGTCTCTTGCAGCATGGATTCTCTCTTGTTTGATTCTGTGGCTAGAAACACACTGCACACTTGTGCATTTGTATCTCGATCGACACACGTCGATCTCTTGCAATTAATTTGTTATAAAAGAATGATGGATTTGATCACCGGCCTAAATAAATCATGGTGTTGAATTTATGCTGACACGTACGGTATGCATGCACGGTCTCCCTTCGACGATCACAAAATTCAAAGGGTGATGCTTGAGGCACACACCTTAATTAATTAATTGGAAAATGGATGCACAGAAGATGAGAAGAGATCGATATATACATGCAAAAAAATGTGCCAAATAATGTATTTCTCTTGACTACAGATCTAGGTAAGTATACTATCGAATTTATCATGCAAAAATATGTGCCAATTATGAGCCAAAAACGTATTGGGCAATATACATGTAATGTTGGAGTTATTAGATATATAAAGGAATATATGCATCAAAAATAGCAAATTTATCGAATTATATATGTGTACATATATAATTCTATGTTTTAGTTACAATATGCATGGGCATGTCCATGATGCACCTAGAAAATAAACATATGTATAAATATAATTTTTGAATAATTGACAAATTAGTGCAGAGGTTTGACAAACTAGCTAATCATGAATATTTAGCAAGAAATCTTGCACAAACTAAACCGCACGTCACTGTGATAATCGAGAGTGCCAATCAATATTGGTTAGGTTCATCCATATAGGTCTATATCCAAATGTTTTAGGAAAAAATATATACATCATTGACATCACGGTCTACATTCTGAATTGAATAGTAGTTGGTAACAGACTTAATTTACTTGATTAGTTTGATTATGATCTGAACTAACGACATATTTGAACCGCGGCAATGCGTGCTTGCACGATTTGTGTTAATTAGTGGCGTCTAGCATCTGCATGACCGTGTACTGTTCGTCGAAAAAAATCAATTTTTTCCCTTAATCCTCATCGATGAGTTAATTGTGCATATGTATATATAGAACAAGAAATCAGGAGCAGAATAAGCCGTCGATCGTTAATTTGAAACACAAAATGGGAAGCCAGGTTGCAATCAGCTATGCGGATTTATAGGAGCAGTTTCATGTGAGACATAATTTAATTACTAGTTGCTGCGTAACATATCATCGGTTTCTTCTATTGAAAGAAAAACAAATAGTACCATGTAGTATATAATTTGCTGCACATGAAAGTACAGCGTTGACTAGAGATCACTATAAGTTAGTGTGAGAGAATCAAATAAGTCGTACGTGTATCAATTTTTTGGTTGATCGATCAATTAGCAGCAGCAGGCCGGAAAACATATTTGATTTGATCGGGTTAATTGAGATTATTGTCACGAATTGCAAAAATTAGTATTAATTACATACCTGCTGCTGATGCTTGGTGTGCAGCTGCTGCGCCTGGACGAGCTGGTGGTAGAGGGCGCCATAGCTGCTGGTGAGCTCCTCCAGCCTCCGCCGCAGCCGCCGGTTCTCTTCGCCGGCTTGCCGGAGCTCCCCCTCCACCGTCGTCGCCGCCGCATCCATCTGCTGCATATATATATATAATGTTATGAATTAATTCCGACGTACGTACTCCCTTAAGGTCATGAAAAGTATATATATATATGTGTGTGAATTGATCCCCCATAATAGATCAAGATGAGTAAAGTAAGTAAGATGCTTAATTACCTTGCTTTGGTGAATATTTGACTGCCCTTTCTTCTCCTCATGATGATCACCGTCGTTGACCGCTGTCAGCAAGTCCAGCGCAGTCTGCTCGATCGATCGATCAAACACAATCAGAAATACTAATCAAGATCCATCGATCAAGCCATCGATCGAGATCACATGCATCTTGCAACCTAAATCCCATAATTCATGAAACATATATATGCAAGCATGGATGTATCGTCAAGCAAGCTATTAGCTAGATCTTGACGACGACGACGACGACTTACGCTGACCATAAATCCGGCGTGGCTGCTGCTGATCCCATCCGCACGGAGGACGTCGTCGTCGTCTCTCCGGCCGGCACCGGCACCGGCGGCGGAGAAGAAGTCGAGCTCCTTGATCTCGCGGGCGCACAAGCCTCCTCGCTCCTCTTCCCCCTCCTCGTGTCGTTGCTTCTGCACCATCATCTCCATGGATAGAGCTCGATCGATCGATCAGTAGAGTGAGAAGGAGAGAAATCAATTAAAGTAGGGGAGAGCTAGCTAGGTCGTAGCTAGCTAGCTTTATATGGCTCTTGCTCCTACTACTACTCCTAGCTAGTTAGCTAGGTTCCAAGAGAGAGAGAGAGAGAGAGTGAGAAATTAGTAAAGTAGTTTAACCTATAGCTAGCTAACGACGAGAAGCTAGCATATGTAACGTGAAACGGAAAGACTTGGACTTGGACCAAATTATGCAAGAGAATGGGGATCGGAATCGATGGGGATGGTGGGCCAGCCATGTCAGACGGCGGCGTACGTCAGCGTGACAGGTGGATGAGGCACTCGCGTCCACGTGTACTGCATGGGCCGGGTCAACGGAGTCAACGCGATGTAGACTCCCTTTCGATCACCAAGTTGATCGATCGAGATAAGCTATAGCCTAGGAGTGATGGTGCGTGCATGAGAGGATATGCCACGCTCTGCAGCAAACAATTAACTCCATTCAGTACGATCTCTCTCTCTCTCAAACGTCCATGATTTTTTCGGCTAGCATCTATAAAGTTGTGTGCTAGATGATCTAAGTTTAAAGTCTCGCTTCTTCTAATTATCTGATATTAGGTTCTTCCCTAATATTCGCTTCTTCTAATCATCTCTCTTTTACTTGACTTGATATCATTAATTACACAAGAATTAATCATATTGATTAGATTTATCTTGCAAAATACATTTTTTAAATATAGGCTGTGTTTAGTTCCTCCTCCAAATTTTTTTTTGAAGAATACGGACACACATTTGAAGTATTAAATATATACTAATAATAAAACAAATTACAGATTCCGCCTGTAAACTGTGAGACGAATTTATTAAGTCTAATTAATTTGCCATTAGCAAATGTTTACTGTAGCACCACATTGTCAAATCACGGCGTAATTAGGCTCAAAAGATTCGTCTCGTAATTTACATGCAAACTGTGTAATTGGTTTTTTTCGTCCACATTTAATGCTCTATGCATGTATCCAAACATTTGATGTGACGGAATTTTTGGAAGCTTAAAGGGAACTAAACACAACCATAGTTTCATTATTTTTTTTTTTGCTATGTAAAGAAAGTAATAAACCAGTGTCAACCACTTGCGGATTAATGCGCATGCACTTGTAGCCAATCGAAATCAATATGCATGAAATTCAAAAAGATAAACATGTGGTAAACTCTCTTTCTTCATAAGCGTAGTTTCATGAGAAAGGTTTGATGGCATTTTCACGGCCGGATCTATATATATCTCTACGACTCTACCTAGCGTGTTGGATCCGTTCTTGCACATTCACACACCATATGGACTGATGCCTAAGTGTACATTATCCAGCCGCAATATGGGTGGAGAAATCATGAAGAAATTGACACATGAGGCTTAGTATTTAGCTAGAGTCAAGGCCTTCATCAGCTAGTAGTTGACAATATCTGCATATATATCAAGAACTGAAGACCTTTTCAGTTTAGACTTCAGAGTGCAAAAACCAGCTAGGGTAGGTTGTTTCTGCAAGTTAATTAGTTGTTGCCATGATTTGTATGTGAACACTAAGATTATTAACTAATGAAACATTGAAACACTACTTGTTTTTGTGGACGTTCTCCACTGACACATGCATTGACAATCTTAGCCTGCCGGCGACTAGACTGTACTTGTCGATCTACGCCACTACACTGTTTATAATTTTTGAGTCTCCATTGACGGCTAGCTAGAAATTAAACTGCAAAAGATATTAAGGACAAACAGTGCTAGGATATTATTGTTCCCTTCCATGATGATGGAGTACTAGCTAGTAGACATCATCTGTCAGGAATCAATTGAACTGAAGCAATAACAATCACAAACATATCTTTTGTTGTAGACTCATGAAATATTAATTTATTTACAGTGAAATTGAATAATCATGTAACTACAACACATGAAGCACAATATGAGCAGTATATTTAGTTAATTTCCTATTTGAATTATATACGTGGTTCTGAGCTTGCGTGGTGATCCGAATTATTTCAAGTTATATATATTCACACTCTAGTCATCTTCTATATGTATATATATTTCTCAAGCCAATTATTGGTTGCTAACCAACAAAAGATAAAAAGTAGAGTGCATACATATGAAATTAAATATATTTAATTAATTGCAGCCAACATGGTCCGATTAAATATGTTTACAAGTAGCCAATGAAACTTTTAGAGACTAATGACCATCTGGTCCAGCTTTAATGTTAGAGAAAGAAAACAGGGAAAACACTAGCCAATAAAGTACAAGCATAAATCAATGTGATCAAATGTGTACTACTACGTCGTACAGTTAGATATATCATAAATATATCACCGTGACATACAAATATATTTATATATGATGGACAACCTTAATCAGGCATCCAATCATATATCAAGTTGATAAGAGGCAACGTGTGTTTGTTCAACCTGCAGGTCTTAACAAAATAAAGAAATGAAATAAAAGCTCCTACAAGACAAATATGCGTAGGTTAGCTAGGCATACTTGCTCCATCCCAAAATATATTAGTTTACTTTTGTAGGCTAAGGCTGTGTTTGTTCGGATAAGAAAAAGAGAAGAAATCTCTCATTTTTCGCTATTTTTCTTTGCAAAAATTATCTATAGGAAAGTTACTATAAAAAAATATACTACCTCCGTCCCAGAATAATTGTATTTCTATAAGATTAGAGACAGATTAGCAACACACAAAAATGACCATAATTACTCTATAATAAGCACACTGCATGCACACATTACATACTTAAACTTGATTAAAAGGAAGGTTGGGAGATGAGGATGAAAAGATGGGAGGCTAGGAGACAATATATCTTCATCTAATTAATTTATTGGATTCTACACATAATTAGAAATACATTTTTTTTACAAAATTTGTATGGTAAAAATACAATTATTTAAGGACGGAGGTAGTATTAATTAATTTTTCAAGTTCAGAATAATTAATACTCAATCAATCATATGCTAATGACTCACATCGTTTTACGTATACTCTCAATCTTCTTTTTTTCTCCTCTCAAACACACCCTACTAAACTTATTTTTAGGTAGGAGGGAGTAGCGTGCATTCGGTGCGTGCATGTGTGCAGTGGCGGATTTAGGCCATTTCTGTGGGGTCGGCTGACCCCACAGTTTTTTGAAAAACACCCTTTAAATCTCGATTTTCATGTATAATCCAAAAATAATTAGAGAAATGACTCTACTTAAATATAAATCACTAGTAATTGATCCTACAGGTATAAAATCCTGGCTCCGCCACTGCATGTGTGGACTTCATTACTTGATAAAGATCAAGTAGATAGTATGATGTCTAGTGTGTATATGTATGTAGCAAAGGTGCTGATGAAAACAAAACAAGATCAATGCTGAGTTACTGTCTTACATACTGACCATTATATTACACACGTCTCTCTCCAAAGACCATGGCCAAGTCTAGTGTGTATATGTATGACCATTTGCAAGGAGGAGAATGTATGCAAAGTTGCTTGCATTTGTATCGATCCTTGATCTGCATGCACTTAATTTCTACATATGCATCTCGTGTGCATGCATGGGCCGGCCTCATTATTGTTTTGGTTTAATTTAATAAGTAAGTTAAAGTTCCTTCAAAAATATGGCTGGTACGTTATGTGTCTATCAATGGCACCACAAGAATATAATTAACTTATATATGAACATGCACATGCAAGATCATGAGAGGCCCTAGTTATAAATATAATTAACGATCACTAATTAATCTAGTCTTCACAAGGTGACATATGCGACATTGTTGAGGTCAATCACCGACGGCCGTGGAAAGAGAAAGGCATAATAAAGATCACAACTCACAAGTAAAATCTGTAATTTGCATTGTGAGGTAAACTTGAAAGCAAAAGGCAAGGAAAATTAGGAGAGAGATCGATGGATGAGAACGACACGTTGACGTGTATATGCAGAGACAAATTAAGGAGCTGAGATTGTATTGGCAGAGCTACTAGCTGCAAGAGAAGATCGACCAGAAACAAATAAACAGATCAATCCATCGAATTCTTGTTGATAGCTTTTAGCTGGTAAAAGAAAGCGGCGCCCAGCTTAGAGTCAATAGCTTAATTAGCTTGCATTGATCTGGAGTCTTCTCTGGACCAGACTAAGCTACTAGTACTACAGCAGTAGTTGTTGATGATAGTAAAAGGTAATACTAGTTCTATGTATTGGTCCAGCCAATAGTCCAACGAGACAATCCAATTAACCATGCAACTGGACCAATTTGCAGAGGAAATTAAGCAGATTAATATGCATATGGAATATATAATGTATTTTGTGTACATTCTAGTTTATATGATACAGACATCAGAGGCGCCTATACCTTCTAGCTAGCTAGTTGATGCAAAGTTGATATGCATATCAGAGTAGTCCATTAATTTGTATACCTTGAAACTTAAGAATTTAATTAATTTAGCTTAGAGAAAGACATTATTGATTCATCAGAAATAGATATATCTTAATTTCGAGTAATTAAGGTTGCTAGGTTGATGCCCATGACCGTTTTCTTACCTTTCATGCAGTTAATTATAATTCTGGCATATATTGATTGCAACCAGAGGCCAAAATTTTCCAGTTAGCTAGAAGGCGACATCGATCGTGAAGGCGTCGGAATAAGCCGTCAGGTTCAGAGAGGTTAATTCTTCGTCAATTCGCGTCGTTTGGAGATCGCATGGATAGATGGTATAGTAGCTAGCGGCCTTGCATGTCTGCTTAATTGATCTATCAATCGACCTGTATGTCTTGAATTCGTCAGTTCCTTTGAAGATTTTGAGACTAGAATGATCAACAGATAGCTAGCTAGCTAGGAGCTAGACGGCCGGAAAATTCATCTTAGAATTGAATTGGGCAAAAAAAAAAAGAAGGAAATGCTCTCTTTTAATTCTTCCCATGGATCCTTCGCTTTCAGTATATATTCCTTAGCTACAAGTCCAATAAACGACGGCGATCTTTTTCACAGCTAGCTGAGTTTAGGAAAGACGGATAATTCGCTTATACTTCAACACACATCTTCACAAGAAAGCTAACTCATAATTTAATTGTGAGGATCTTTCGTAGTCCTAACTACAAGTCTAACGAACAATAACCTCTTCTTTCTCTTTAGAGTTACATGCACCAACCAATAATTCATGTGAAAAATTGAAAGAACTGGCGATGAGTAGTACTTCACATGTATAAACATGTATATGTTCAATCCCACACACAATGAGAGAAAATAACTACATGCATGCATGATGGGTTCTCTCACATCCTTAAGGATGTGTTCGCTCGATTGAGTTGGGAACCTTCTCTTGTGAAAACAAGCTAGCTCTATAGCGTATGATTAATTAAATATTAGAAAAACTTTAAAAATTAATTAATATTATTTTTTTCAATAACTTTTCAATAGCTTTTTTTAAAAAAGCATACCTTTAGCAATTTGGAAGCGTGCATGCGGAAAACAGAAGGGGTATGAGCTGAGAAATTAGACTCCTGAACACATACCACCATTTCAAAGCTAGGAAGGTTGAACTGGTTTAGAAGCAAGTTTACGTTTAGCAACATAATTGTGAATTTTCAATCCTATTCTAACATGTAAGTTCAGTTTTGATTCCTCTCTTTAATTATCACCTCATATAATTGTGAACAACACGTACGGGTTAAATAATTAAAAATATGGGTATGTACTTGTTAATTTAATAGGATTATCTAGTTTTTCACTTACTTGAAAATACCCACAAATTTCAATTACTTTTGGATGTTTTTTACTTACTTGAAAATACCCATAAATTTCAATTACTTTTGGACGGCTCATATCGTACCAAGATTTATACAGTCATCCTAACTTATTTTCTCCTTCCCACTCTCTGTCCCCCACAAGGCTGCAACATACAAAGAGATTACAAGCATGCACCACCGCCACTCATCACCTTCCCCACACCCTCCTCCCCCTTTGTTGCAAGTGAAAGGATTACCCGGCCAATCTCTCTAACACTCTGTCCCACGCTCTCCTCCTCCTCCCCCTCCCCTCCCACCAACCGCTCCTTCTATGAGTGATAGCAAGATATCCCCGCCTCGCCTTCTTCACTACTAAAGATGCCACTGCCGCCTCCACCTTGTACTTACTCAGGATATTGCGTCCTCACCTGTCATCTTCCTCCAACCCTACGGCTCTTGTTCCGCGTCATTGTTGCCTCACCGTATGTAAGCCTTTGTCAAGCTTCCTCCCCTCTTCCTCCTCAACCCCCGTCCCGTTCCGACCCCCACCCCAAAGTCCTAAACTCTGATTCGCTGGCGCTGAAGAAGAGAGAGGTTAGCCACCGTACCATCATTGTCATGGGTGAGTACTCACCATCTCCCTCCCTCTCATCTCTTGGTGCCTCCTCTTTTGCACAGGTTGAGGGTGACTAAAATTTCTCATCACAACAACGATCAGTCACCCCTAATTCAATCGCTAGCTATGTACGTACCTAAAAGTCCTCCATCGATGGAATCATGGAAAGATGTATCTGACCTTGTGAAAAGCAACGTAACAGCTCCAAATCAAGTCGTAATTAACATCTACAAAGAATTGCGTAACACAGTACTGTTCCTTTGATTAGATGTGCATAATTAATGCATATATGATATTTCCAGGTCGGCGCTGCCATTGTCAGTTGCTGGTACCTGCATCTCTGCTGGCCTAATGTGTATGGGTCCTAGCTAGCTTAATTCTGCATGGACGGCAAAGCCATGGAAAAAAACGATGAAGCTAAGATCCGGTTCAGTTCACTCCAAACTTCCCCCTAACTCCTAACTTTCCATCACATCACATCATATCCAAAACTTTCCTACACACATAAACTCTCAACTTTTTTTCTAAACTACCAACTTTCCTCAAACTTCTCCCCAATTTCAGAAACTAAACACAGCCTAACTACTCCCTCTGTTTCAGGTTATAAGATGTTTTAACTTTGATCAAAGTTAAACTACTTAAAGTTTTACCAAGTTTATAAAAAAATAGTAATATTTTCAACCCAAGATAAATTTATTATATATATATAATTACTATATTTGTTTATAAACTTAGTTAAACTTGAAGCCAGTTTGACTTTGACTAAAGCCAAAACATGTTAATCTGAAACGGAGGGAGTACTTAATTAGCTAGAGTATCTCTCACTCGAAGTCAATTTATTGATGAATGCTTGCATGAAATATATTTGACCGATGGATGGATGGATCGATCGTACGTAGTGCATGTTGATATCTAGTCCAAAGTCGTGCAAGCTCAAACATCACGGCATTTGACTGACGGTGACAAAACTTACCAAAGCCATAGTCAAATGAAAGCCATCTTTTTTTTATTATTATTTTCTTAGCTAGGTATCGAGTGCTGCTGGTAATGTTGATCACCATGATTAATAATGTGTGGCACGGAGGATGGAATGTACTAATGTTTGAAAAGAAATTTCCTTTTCAAAAGGATGTGACAAAATAAACTAAGTACTGTGTGAAGGAGAAACAAAAAAAAAATTCCATCCCAAAATTTATTTTAGAATTCATAATTAGATTTTGAGGCGTGAATAGATTTCTCTCTCAAAGATATATACTAATTGACTTTCAATAATAAAAAGTGTATCCAAACCCCAAATAAATAGGATCAGAATTCACTCTGAGCAAATAAAAGCCCAGGGATCTTTAGGCTTACCAGTCTGTATTCAAAGCCTCACTCCTATTTGTTAGATATTAGGCCATTCCCTAATGTTCGCGTTTTTTTTTACTCCGAGCGAGGGATTAGGAGCCAGAGCACTACATGATCGACTTGTGGAGAGCGGAAGATTAGGGTCCCCAAAGTTTTGGGATCTAGCTTTGAGGTCTGCTGGAGCCACTTTTTCTTTAAAAACACATCCAATTTTTTGTGATAGGAAATAGCATTAGTCATCTATTGCGCATGCTCTAATAATAACCATGTGTTATATATGGTATTCATGAATATAACTGTATGTATCTTTAGTTGGTGTATAGAGGACATACTCTGTTTGGACATGTACAAAGGTAATATTCGATATAATCTCTTAATTAATACATATTGTAAAATCAAAGGTGTTTTTGATTATTATTCTGTGATGAACAATTGGCGTCGGAGATTATTGGTTTTGCTATTTGGAATTTATTCACGAAGTGGTTTTGGAGATGATTGGATTTCACAGGTGATCTACAGGTACTGCTGTTTATTGGACCGGTCAGACCGGGCATGTGCTGCCGGTCAGACCGGCGCAGCCTGCGGTCTGACCGGCCGACGCTGTGTCGGTTTCAGTTTCGAGTTGTTTGTTTGGATATCCGTGATTGTTTCATGATTATGGCTTCTAGATGTATACTATACGTATGTAATACTGTTGTTTGCTACTAATGAATCAAGTTGGAGATAGCTTGGTCTCGGAATATGGTTTCTTTGTTTATTTCATGTGTAGGTAACTTGATGCCTCAGGAGAGTATTTGCGGTGATGGACCGGGAGTCGGCTTGGGGACAAGACGACGTCCGTGGTGGTCAGAGATCATGCGGGATACTTAGGCTAGAGTTGATGCACGTGGTTGATGGAGATTCCATATGGCATACGATGGAGGTATTGTGTGCGTATGGGATACGGAGTCGAATTTGGAAGGAGTCCGAATTTGATATGATTGGTTATGTAAAGTTTGTTTCTTGTACTAGAGGGTTTCCTAAGGTGTTTAGGACTCTTAGTATGAGTTTGGTTTGTGGCTTTAGGCTGCCTACCTCGGGTATAAATAGAGGGGGAGCGTGAGGCTTCCCTGTATCGCATTTGAGAGCAATTGAGTTGCGTTTTGAGTTAGGGTTTCGAGTTTAGTCGAAATTTTTGTAAGGAGTGCTATTGGTGCACTTTGTAAACACAGAGAGAATCAATAAAGTCGTCATTCACTTTAAGAGTTCTTCAATTTGTGTTTCACCGGGTTTCGGCGGTCTAACCGGCGACATACCGGCGGTCAGACTGGCGACAAGCGACGGTCAGACCGGCGGGAGAGAGACGGTCAGACCGGTGGCGGTGACAGCAAGCGGCAGCTGATCTCGGTGGTCAGACCGGAGATCTAATCTCGGTCAGACCGACGGCAACCAGGCGGTCAGACCGGCAGAGCAACTTCGGTCAGACCGCGATCCGTCGAATTCGAGGGTAACTTTTATTTCCGCTAAAAGTTTTCGGTTTTTAGGTATACCAACCATTCACCCCCTCTGGTTGGCTTAGTTATTGTGATTCGATCCTACACATAGTATCACTTAGAGATCATCCTTTCTACAATAGTTAAGATAACAAAACCTCTTATAACCATTAATGCACCAAAATAAACTTTTACTACCCTTATTTCCTTTTATTCTCTCCCATGCAACAAAATTTCTTTTAATAAATGCTAAGAATTGATTCTGAGCCATTATCATGCATAGCAACGATGTTTTCCTTAATCGTATACATGAGGGTTGTCTTATCCTCTGCTCCCCTCTCATTTTTCTACGTCACCAAATTTACTTACGTATCAATATACGTGCCCTTATATCCCAATTTTTTAACCAAACAAATTTGTTAGAAAACTTCCGCAAGTTTTTTTGCCTCTGACCATTGAATCGCCTTGAGATTTTTACATGAAGGAAAAAAAATTGCTAGAAAAAATTTCACACATGTCACACGTAAGATTCTGGTGCTAACTAACCAAACCATAGTTGAATGAAAATTTTATATGTTATATCATAGTTACATCTAAAAGTTTTTGACTAGAAAAACTTGCGGTAGTTTTTTAATACTCCCTAACCAAATTGTCAGACTTCTGGTTCCTTCGTCTCTATCATGTTGGGCTTCAGATGATGGGCCTGGGTGGCCCAAGCCCATGTTTCTCGGCCTTTCTTGAACACACTCTCACTATCAGGTACCCACTCCACGATGATGGGCCTCGCGAGCTCTCGCCCGCCGCTCGTCTCCGCGCCGGCGACGGCGACGGCGAGGCTGCCTCCTCACCGCCACCGCCGCCGCCGCCTCTATCTCAGTGCCACCTCATGCGCTTCGACCAATTCCTACTCCTCCAGCGTCCTGTCCCATGGAGGAACCTGTGCTCCGCGCTCCCTAGTGGCGGCGGAGTTGCAGTCGCAGTCGCGGCCGCCTCCGCTCGCCGCCGGCGTGTCCGTACGGGGAGACGCCGCGACGGGGCTCGCGTTCCTCCTCTTCGTTCTCGCTGTGGTATGCCCCCCGCGGATTCGTCTCCCCACTTCGTCCTGTCGGTTAATTTTCAGTGGTTCGTCGAGCAGTGCGCGAGGTGTTCGATGCGAGTTCTTTGTTTGCTTTTAGTTTCCCTTTTCACAATGCGTTGTTGAAGAGGTTCAATTTCGGATAAGTGTTACATCATTCGAATGCATCGGTGTACATCAGGATTTCTTGTTCTAGGGATATACATCAAGATTTGGGTATAGGTGACAAGTCCAAAGAGCATGTCATTCTTGGGCTACAGATTCATCAGTGCTCTTCACTTGCAAATGGCACTTTTGACTTAGGAATTAGTAGAATGGAGAGAGAAATGTGTAAATTCTTCTCTCTCATTTTTCTTTTTTTTTTCATATTAGCTGCTGTCGAAGGTTGCCTTCAGATTCAATCCACCACAAATTTTCAATGAATATATACTATGACTTCTTAGCTACTGTGAGAGGTTACATTCGTTGTTTCTTATGGTCAAAGTTAGTTAGATTATCCTGATAAATGGATGGAGTTTTAACTTTATGGATCCTAAATTCAGGTGATGAGTTCCTTTCTGTCACTGGCCATCTTCTCATTTCCAACATGGAGAGTGAGTAAAATCATCTAAACAAACACTACTTTTTCCACAGAACTTCCTCTAACTTACCCTTTTTGTGTATGCGTGTGTGAATTAGGCTCTGAAGCGATTGGAAATTGCTGTGCATAAATTGTCGAAAGTAGTTGCAGAAGAGGTACCAGGAACACTATCTTCACTAAAGCTATCATGCCTGGAGATCAATGATTTAACTAGCCAACTAAAGAACTTCAGGTAATACTCTTTTGTTTTTGGTGAGAAGGTAGCACATTTTATAGCAGTCAAAATGTAACTGAAGGAAAATGATAGTATCTATTTTTTGTTTTATTTTGACATTATGCAGACAAAGGCTCATGATAAATATATTTGGAAACAACAGTAGTGTTGATGCAAGATCACAGACTGGATGGCCAAAACGGGGAAAAATATGACTTATTTAACCTGTAAGTTTTATGGTAACTCTTAGCTTATCACTCTTGCTGAAATGCATTATCAAGTCGATACATGTGTGTCACAGTAGCCCTTGACGACTTGCAGCCACATCAAACATGTTGTGATGCAAGTACCAAACTGTGCCTTGAGCCAAGACCTTCCATAAAAGACTGGCATTATTGATAATGAGATGCTTTCTTGTACAATTACATTTTAAGCTATACTTTTTTATTTGCACTGTCTGTAATACATCGTGCTCCCTACAGCTTTGCATGTTTCTTGATAAAACCTTGTTCATAGTGCTTCAAATCCTCTGGTGTTGGTAGGTTGCATAGTAGGGTAACCCTTGCTGTTGACACTAGATGTTTGCACTCTGATGTGGAAGGATCTATCCGCCATATCTGGACCTCCCAAACCTGTCAGAATTAGTAAAACAGAAATGCTTGAGATGTCTTGAAATCAGAAGGTTGTGCAAAATATAATTGAGACACTTGATGAGAACAGAAGAACAAAGAAGAGATAAACCATGTATCACCACTTATGATTCTGATTTCTGAAGACAACATACTTTACACAAACTGAAAGTTTAAGTGTATACTACTGCTACTAAGCACCTGCCTCATACATATATTCTGCTAATTGAGAGTTCTGTCTGTAGAACTGAAGGTTTACAGGCAACTAGAAGCAGGTAACAGGAAACCAAAAGTGCCTTTTGCAAGATTTTTGCAACTTTGAGGAAGGCTAGAATGATTGATGTAACTTATATGAACTTTAGGTAATACAATTGGACAAACTTCCTGACTGATGCTAATCTTGTACTAGCATTATGACTTCAATATAAATAGTCAGCATGATGTGTTGACACTATGAGTTATGGGCTGCAAGAGATGACCTTGTTTGGCACTTTCTGAACAATTTTCTTCTTAGTGCCTTAGTCAGAGAAGACTGCTCGGCAGAAAGTCCAACTTTTTTCTGTTGTAAGTCTCATCTTTCACTCTCCTAACCCCCAACTAACATGGAATCTTGATCTTCCTTTCCCAAATGATGAACTTGCCAATAATTACTTTGTTTGATCTAATTGTAATCTAGTGTTCCAGATTCTGGTCAGCTGGAGTACTGTACTGGTCCTACTAGGCATATTCAATTAACAACTACAATGACAAGTAGGTTGTGTGATGAATTATTTATCTGTTTGGATCTTTGAAGAAAATAGTACAGTACTCTAGAAAGCAAGTAAGAGAATTTTGATTAGTGGGTAATTAATTAAGCTGTTAATAATTTTTACCTGGATGGTACGGCCGAGCTGCATGGGCTTGGCCTTCGCCTGGACGGTCTCGCCGAGGTGGGCCGGCCTGATGTGGTTGATGGACAGCTGCACGCCGGCGACCCTCCGGTAGCCGGACGCGATGTAGCCGCCGATGCTCGCCGCCGCCTCCGCCATCAGCGCCGACACGCCGCCGCCGAGCACCTTGAACGGCTGCACGCAAGCACGAACGTCGAGACATTTTTTTTGGAAGCCAAGAAGGACGGGACGGCCGGCCGGCGGCGGCGATCGTACCTGGCAGCAGGTGGCGGTGACGAGGAGGCGGCCGACGACCTCGCCGGCGGTGATGGTGGTGAACTCCATTCCCAGGGAGTGCAGAGCATTGTCCGGCGGGCCGTACTCCGGCGGCCATGGCCAGCTACTCTCTCTCTTTCCGTCCTCGCCGGCGCCGGCCATTGCTCTGCTCACTCCGGTGAGGTGAGAGAGGGCAGAAGAGGAGGCCTTGCCGGATATGGTTGGGCCGGAGTGCATATATATTAATCAGCCCACTTAATGGCCTGTTCTTTTCTAATCAAAGGATGGACGAATGCGCATGCTTCTTTGGTTTTTAGTTTTAAAAGTAATTTTTAACTTTATGATCGTTAATTTATTCATTTGTATCATCTATACTAATTATCACAATCATGTAACTATTCAGTCATTCAGATATTCAACACAAAATAATTATTCTGTACTCCACCAGTCCTGGAATGTAAGAACATGTAGACATTTTGTAAGAGATTAAGGTTGAGGTAAGAGTTGGTTGTGATTCTTTAAGACGAATAAGGTTGGGTTCTTAAGTCTACCTTCTTAACTTTGCATTCCTGGTTGTTCACATGCACGTTTTCCAAACTGCTAAACGGTAGTTTTTTAAAAAAATTATAGGAAAGTTACTTTAAAAAATCATATTAATATATTTTTTTAATGGTTTAGTTAATACTTAATTAATCGTGTGTTAAGGCATGTATCGTTTTGCGTACGAAAGAGGAGGGTTCCGAACCCCTCCTTCCCTCCTGAACACAACTTCAGTAGGTAGAAAAACTATAATGGATGGTTTGTGATTGATTGATATGAGAAGTGTGTGATTTATGTTTTTGGATAATTTAGATGTATATTTCTGAACAGAGGTAGTAAGTAACCAACTAAGCTAAACCACTTCAACTTAGTCATTGGTTTTAACGTATGTCTAGAATACTATGTTGTCTAACTTCGGTACTAACCAAGTTCTTATTAATTACTAATTTGGCCATAGAAAACCTCAATTGCTTTTGACCGCACACTACATTACATTACTACAACCAAGGACATATCTTTGTCCTCCACACATCAATAGAAAACCAACAACTTTATAACTTTACTTTGTTGTACATAAGCAGAGCTTCAACCTACAGCTTTATCTCTTCTCTAGTCTAGCCAAATTATTTCAGCTTCAATTAAAAATGAGAGTCGAGCTAGCTGATCAATGGGTTTAGTTTGTGTTACAACTTCATTCCAGATCCAGCTCTTGAAAATAAATTTAAAAGTTAGAGCCCCGGCAAACAAACATGCATATATATATCGATCAAAAGAAAATTTGGTCCTGAAAGAGGTGAGTTACGCAATAAGATTAGTACTAGCATCGTACTCTTTCCGTCCAAAAAAAGCTCAACCTAGTAGGAGATTTGACCGATAACTCTCTATTCAGATTTGTTGTACTAGTTTTTTTTTTTTTGGAACGGAGGGAGTATGTTTTTAACAGGCAATGTCGCAACAGGTCGCGATCCTATTTACAGCTAGCTAATTGCAAGTCGTCAAAAATTAATTTCGATTAATTTTGTATACTTGCAGTTGTGCATATATATGCAGTCGATCATATCTAATCCATCATGTTCTTACATTCCAGGACTGGTGGAGTACAGAATTAATCAGTACGATCAAAACGTGTGCCACCCATCGTGCAGTATTCCACTACTTCGCGTACGGCGCAATACTCCCATTTTTGTTGGTTGGATTGTGGGCTTTGTCCCACTTTTGTTGAGCCCAAAAAGGGCCACAGCCCGTCCTAAAAGAAAAGAGCCCAGTTATAGTTTTCTACATAAAAGAAAGGAAAAAGTACACCGAAGTTCCCTCAACTTGTCATCGAGTTACAAAATCGTCTCCCAACCATAAAACCAGGTATCCAGCATCCCTTAACTAACCAAAACCGGTCACAATAGGTCCTTTAGTGGTTTTGACCCCGGTTTTATCCTACGTGGCGGCTGAGTCAGCACGGGACCCACGTGGGCCCCACATGTCAGGCGGCCACATCAGCCTCCTCTCTCTCCCTTTTCTCCTCATCTCTCCCTTCCTCATCTCCCTCTCTCCCTTCTGTAAGTCAACCGGCAGGAGGAGGATGGCGTCGGCGGCCGGCGACGGGCGACGCGGCAGCGGTGGGGGAGGAACTGCAGGCGTGCGGCGGGGGGATGTAGCGCCCGTTCCGTCGTGGCGCCTAGCGGGAAAATTATCTCTTAAAAACCCTAATCGCGAAATTTGTTTCTTTGCTTGTTGTCTAGTGTCCGTGCCATCTCAAGATCTCAATCCCCGATCTATCGTCGAGTTCAAATCCGAATCCAAATCCTTCCAAATCAAATTCCTCCACAAAAGTCTATTTTGCCTCCCCCGGGGGTCGATGGGCCGATTTCCTCCCAGCCCATCTCCCCCTCTCCCCCGGCCCATCTCCCCCTCTCCCCCGGCGCGCTCCCGCTCTCTCTCTCCCTCTCTCTCGCTCTCTCTCGCCCCCTCCCCTTCCCGGCGCACTCCCTCTCCCCTCTCCCTTAGCTCCGCTCCGCTCCGCCCGCGCGCCGCGCGCGCGGGAGCCGCGCCGAGCGCTCCTCCTCCTCCGCTCTGTCCGCGCGCGTGCGCGTGAGTCACCGCGCCGAGCGCCTCCTCCCCTCGCTTCCCTTCTCCTCTCCCTGGCGAGCTCCCCGCTCGCAAAGCCGGCCCCCGCGCGCTGTTGTTCGCGCGCGCGCCCGCGTGGTCCTCGCCCGCACCGCGTGGTCGCCGCCCGGCCCCGCTGCCCTGCCGCGCCTGCAGCCGCTCGGCCCCGCAGCCAGCGCGCGTGCTCGAGCCGCGCCTCTCCATCCGCCGCGCCCTCCCATTGCAAGCCGCGCGCGCGTGCCGAGTGGCCGACCATCTGGTCGCCGCCGCCGTCACCCTCTGCCGCGCCAGCCCGCGTCTGTCGCCCGTGTCGTCGCGCCGCTCCAAACCTCTCCGCCGTCATCGCCGTCGTCATCGCCTCGGCCCCGCCACTCCGCGCGCAAGCCGCCAAGGGACGGAGGCCGAGCCCTCCTCCCTCTGCCTCGACGCCCCCGCTCCCCTCCCCCTTTTCCCAAAGAAGAAAGGGGCGAGCCCCCTTTTCTCTCCCTCCTTTTTCCCCTTTTCCTCCCGCCGGCGTCATCCTCCCTCCCTCCTGTCGCCGTTTTGGCCGCTAGCCGGAGCGACAGCTCGCGCCTTGACCGCCAAAGTCGGTTTCCAAACCGACATTGCCGCCCCCTATAAACCCAAGCGCCCTCCCTTCCCTTTTCTCCCATTCTTCCCTGTTTCTCGCCCGCGCCATTGCCGTCCCTCTCGCCGACCGCAGCCGTCGCGTGTGTGCCGGAGGAGCTGGTGCGCACTAGGACGCGGAAGGGGACTCCGGGCGCTCGTCTTCCTCCTCTTCCACGGCCCGAGGCCGGAGAGATCCCTCCCGCGCCGTCGGCCTCTCGTCACAGCGCCCCTCCTCACCTCGGTGATGCCTCCCTCCGTTCTTCCTCCTCGCTCCATCTCCTCCCCCTAGCTTTCGGTAGTAGCTCGAGTAGACTCCCCGTAGTTAGCCGGCGCCGCCCCGACCGTTGCCGTCGCTCGCCGTGTGCTCGCCGCCGTCGCCGCTCGAGCTCCGTAGCACCCACACGTCGCCAGCCTCGCTCGGCGTAGCTCCGTCCAATCCGACGCTAGCATCGAGTTCCCGAAACCGCGTAGATGCTCTCACCGCCGGGAATCGGTCCCTCGTGACCTCGTCGGCGTTTCCCTCTTCCCTCCCCGCCGGTTGTCGCCGCCGCGATTCGCCGCCGTCGAACTCCCTCTGGCGAATCCGAGCCGTTGGCTCGTCTCCCCTCATCACGAACAACCGCCCGGTGTGCTAGCTTTTGCCCGTGTCGCCGTGGTTCGCTCCGCCGCTCGCCGCCGCCGCCCGCCGTCCATTCGCGGCCGGGTCGTCGTCTACCTCCCGCCGGCCCGCGTGGCAGCCACGTAGGCGCCACGTCGGCGCCAGCTCAGCCTAGACCGGGTCGAGCCGACCCCGGTCAGTCCCTCCCCGTGCGCGCGTTCCACCGCGAGCCGTGAGGCTGCGCGTGGGCCCGCTGCATCCGCGTCCACCGCGAACCGCGCGCGTGCACCGCGTCCCTCCGCCGCCCGCGCGCATGAGCCGCGTACTCCCTCCGCACGGTGAGCCGAGCCGCTGACAAGCGGGTCCCACCCGGGACCGCGCATGGTGAGCCCGGTCCACCGGCTCTCTCTCTCCTCCCTCCCGCGCGCGCGCGTCTTGGGCCGCTCTGGGCCACCTTCTTGGGCCGGCCGGCCCGTTAAGCTCGGCCGAGCCGCCCTTTCTCTCGGGCCGCGCCCTAGCCGCCCGAGGGAAGTCTATATTCCCTCCCTCTCCCCTTTTCTTTTCTTTTCTTTTCCAAAAAAAGGGGATTTAATTAAATCCTTTTCCTTTAGACCAAAAATCCAATAATCTTAGAAGTTCAATATCTTTCCAACCGTAAATCCGTTTGACTCCGTTCAAATTCCAAAATTTCTCAAATGTCGAGATCTATCCAATGGCACGCTTAGAGGTCATTAATAGGGCTTTATTTTCGCCGTTTGTTGAGTTGCCCCATTTTGCGTGTAGTTTCGGAGCCCGAAGACCCGCAGTGCGAGGATTTCGAGGATCAAGCTCCAGATCTCGAGCAAGGCAAGCCACCTTTGAACATCTTGAGCCTATATTTGAAATCTAATTATATTGCTTGCAAAATATTATGCATTGATAGGATTACACTTAATCTGTTGTTCCGTCTGCAAGGCAGATTGGCAGACCTACCTAACTTGTTGCATTTGATCCTTCCATTGTTAATTGCTATACCATGTCCCCTTGTAACCATCCAGTTGCGCCTCGATATTCGTGCACCCTATGCCAGTATCGACGGTCGCCTTCAAACTTAAAATCTGAGTAACAACTTGGGTAAAACTGGAGTTTTACAAAAGACTTGGAAAACCCGACACCTGGGTCGGTGCTTGTGAACTAAATGAATTTCCAAAACCGCGGACCGGGGAACGTACCGGGTGTACGGTTTCCCGCTCTCGCACTTAAGGACCGATTCCTTGGAATTTCATCCAAACATAAGACAAGTACGACCACATGGGTGGAATGGGACACCCCTGGCTGAGTAACTAGCTTATCAGGGGAGCCTTGATGCCGAGAGACATGTGGATTCGCCGGGGTGGTGTCGGGGAGGACCCCTGGGCTTCCTGGCACAGTATGGTCTGGGACCTAACCTCTTGTTGGTCTGGGACCCCTCTCGTCGGCATATGGTAAACCTGTGTTGGCTTTGGAAATGCCTTGTCATGAAAGCTTGGAGGTCTCCCGACGTGGCTGATCCCCACGGGCTGGGTGATCTGGGTTAGTAATGTCGTGTGGGTAAAGTGTACCCCCTCTGCAGAGGTTAACAAACTGTTCGAACAGCCGTGCCCACGGTCATGGGCGGATGTGAGGTGATTCCTAGCGTAGTTTGGTTTGACTACTGCTTGTGAAATTGCTGTGTGAAAAGGGGTTCGGTGTTTGAAAAATCTGCAGCTGATGGGATTAGCTAGGCCCGGGTGGCCGTTTGAAAAGTTGTTGGCCCGGGTGGCCGTTGAAAAAGCTGTTGGCCGGGTGCCAACCTTGTTTAAATTCTAAAGACTGATACATTGCACATACTCCGACCGGACGAGACGCACTGTCTCATCCGTGTCGTTTGAGAAGCACTCACTTAGTTGTTTCAGAAAAGAGTTCAAATAAAATTAATTGCAAAAACACCAGCCTTTCCTTGAAGCCTGCATTAAACACTTACTTCCCATGGCTTGCTGAGTACTCCCGTACTCACCCTTGCTCTATATAAATAATCCCCCCAGTTGCTGAAGAAGATGAAGCGGATCCAGCTGATGAGGAGTTCTTCCAGGAGCAAGCCGGCTACGATGAGTTTTAGGGTTTCGGCCTAGTTCCCAAGTCGCGCCTGTGTTGATTGGTCCAAGTCCTGGCTTCCGCTTTCCTTTTGTAATGCAGTTGTGAGCTCGGGATCTGTCCGCAGCCCAACATGACTGTACATCTACTCTATAATAAAGAGACCTCTGTTGCTGTGATATTATGTCTCCCTGTGATACCAGCACTGTTTCCTGGGACTGGTATCGATTAACAGGTTAATTTAGAGCGTCACGGGCTAGTTCCGGTCGGGACTAGTTCGGGGCGCGACAGGGGAGGAGCGGCGGGCGGGCTCCTCCACCAGCCGCCGCCCACGAGGCAAAGGAGCAACGCGCGGGCGGACAGCGGGGGCGGGCGGCGCGCGGGCGGGCGGCGGGGGGAGGAGCGACGCGCAGGCTCCCCCGCCGGGTGCCGCCCACCCGGCAGAGGAACGGCGACGACGACACAGCATCGGCCTCGTCGGAGGCAAGCGCGGCGGCCCCACCCTCCTCGACCGCGAGGCGGGAAAAGTGCATAGCCTCCACGGGAAAAGAGCCCAGGACATTTTCCTCTGAAAATTAAAAGCCTAGAGCCTGGGGGGCACAGGTTCTTGGCACTATTTAGCAAAGATTTGAACTATAATCTATACAGACCTTTCAAAAAGTATCTGGTCAAGGGAAATGCCAAAATCAAATGCAACCAGTATATACATTACAACCAACTTTATGAGGACATAAAACTTTTATCCCTACTTCCTCCTCATTTCTGTATATTAACACCTGCATCAACAAAAAGGCATAGGAGAAAAGCATGAAAATCACAAAATTGGAAACCTCTCTTTACTAATGAACAATGACCACTGGGTCGTGCTGAGATTTGCATTTGACACATAATGAGATTTGCATGTTCGAATCAGATTTGAACACAAAGTACGATTTAGTAGAAAAGATAGACTTGTCTGAAGGAACAAGTACTGTGTATCAGGGTAGAACACTTGAAGAACTGCACCTCAAAGGTGCAAAGTAATCCTGAGAGCTGGGAGCAAAGGAAAGAAATACTTTACTGCCGAAGTTAAGCTCACAAGACACTCTGCAGTCGGCAAAATGAAGGGTTTAAAAGTACAAGAGGGAGTTCTCTGCCTCTGCATCCTAAAATATCAAACTCCCAAAATCTCTGCTTTACAAGACCATATAGTAGATAAACTTCAATCCTTTCTTAATTGCAGTACTCTTTTTATGTTGTACTCCTGAAAACCCTTTTAGTTTTATGTCCAGTAAAAGTCCAACGAATAAGCACAAAAGTCTGCTCATGTTCAATTAGATGACTGAAATTTGCTACTAGAGAATTTGTTGCCCACGCACATTTTGCTAACAAAACTCTTCATTACTGGTTGGGGGATGAGTTGAATCAGCTGGTGTAGCTTAGAACTTGAACACGTTGCGGCACTGCATATATGCATCTAACACAACTACTCCGTACTCACTGCACCTAAAAATATGCTAAGAAAATTATAGACCGGGCAAAGCTTTAGTAAAATATGGAACACAATAGAAATATGTAACAAAATTTTAAAAATTGGCAAAACATATGGCTCTTGAGGTTTTTTTGCTATCGTAGCAGATCACAAAACAAAGCTATGTTAGGTATAAGTTAGGTTTAATCTGAACTAGAAAACAAAAATAACAAAACTGTATACAGCTAGTAGAACTGTACTAACTAAAAATGTGCTGCCATTTTTTCTGGAGATATATGAATGGTATGCAGTGTTTGCTACAATCTTGAGTCAATTTGTTGAACGCTAATTACAGCAGAACCGGAAGTGTGTAGAACTCTAGATTCTACTAGAAATGGTCAGGCATATCGGAAACTGAAAGATACAGTCTGAACAGAAACATTTGAACAGAAACAGTTTGAACAATAGTCTTGCCTCTGTAGTTTGCACAATGTGAAGTAGCACATAGGAATTGCTCACTTTGGCACATTTGGAATTGCTTGGGTCTCTAGAAAGGCATCGTCGGCCATGGCCCCTAGGCTCCTCTTGCTCTGAACTCCTACAGAGAAAAACAATAGAACTATGTAGCTAAATTTTATAAAAGTTGACAAAGACAAAGACAAAGACAAAAACAAATACAAAGACAAAGATGCAGCAAAGCTTTATAGACCGGGCAAAGCTTTAGTAAAATATGGAACACAATAGAAATATGTAGCAAAATTTTAAAAATTGACAAAAACAAAAACAAATATGACAAAATTTAAAAATGTGAGATGCTGCCAAATACAAAATATGACTTTTTTTTAAAGAACTAACAAATTCATGTTTAGTAGCTGACAAAACTACAAAATTCACAAATCTGACAAAACTAAGTACTCTTCACTTAAAATTGTGAGGTGATGCATTCTAATTACTGACAAAAATAACAAAACCATGTACTGTTAATAGCTTACAAAATTACAAAATGACGGTTGAATCCTTCACCTCTTAGTCTACAAAATCATCTAAGATTTGTCATTGTCCCACAGCCATATACCCTTTTAGTTTTGATTGAAAACAATGACAGAAATATGGATCTATATGGCCGCAAAAATGCAAAAAAATTGCTCACATATTGAACTAGATCAGGACGCAAAAAACAGCTAATTACTCAAAAAGCACATATCATAACTTTCTGCTACTTCATCTATTACCAAAATTCCAAATCTTTTTAGACAAAATGTGCAACGGAATCAGAATAGGGAATAATCTTGACCAAACTAAGGAATTCCAATGAAAAGCAAAACTAGCTGACATCAAATAGATGATACATGCTATGTCTAAGTTCTAACTAAACTAAGTATCCATGGGAGCATCAGCAAACAAATCCACTTTATTAGCAAACAAACGAGTCAGCAGCATCAGCAAGCACGTGGGATTCATAGCTCCATGTGTAGCCAGCCTTGCTACACAGGAGCGCTCCAGATTCTTCTCTTCTTTTTTTTTTTGCGGGGAGATTCTTCTCTTCTTTGAAAATCAACTGCTACTAGCACTCTACGGGCAGCAAACAAATCCAATTTAACAAACTGCATCGCCTCTATAGAAGGAGGGATTTGAATTAGGTTTGCAACAAGGGGAATTGAATCAACAAAGTGCGGGAGGATCTCCACGCAGAATGTTACCTTCGAGACGAGGTTCGCGGGCGGAAGGAGGGCTAGAGGGAAAACAGCAGGCGGCTGGATCGGAGCAGCGGCTGGCGAGGAGAGGGGCTCGCATTACACCCTCCTTTGTGCCGGGCTATAAGTCCACCGGAGGAGAAGACGACATCAAGGGCTCCATCCGCCGGAGGAGAGAGCGATGTCGAAGGCATCAGCCGCGTCATGGTCCCGCCGCCGCATCGCCGCCGGCGATCCAAACACCTCCCTTCGCTATGACTGCGAGTGTGTGGATGTGAAGGAACACCAGGTTAGGTTCAGATGCAACAAACGGGTCTCAGCCCAGTAGCTTATGTGGGCCCGATAAGGGGAGAACGAATCTTGGAACACATCGGACGATCACAAATTCAGCTGATAAGACGAAAAATTTCAGCAGGCTGTTGTATAGCAAATCCCAAAAAAAAAAAGGCAAAAAGGCTTTGTTTGCATGTACGCAATATGCAGTTAACAAGTGGGCCTCTGTATTTAGAATCGAACGGCCCAACCTCCTGGTAGATTCGTGGGCTGTGTGAACATTTGCAAACAAATCCCTATCTCCGATCACAATTTCTGTTTTACGTCCTTATTTTACATTTAGATCCTCGTTTCCCTCTGTGATTTTTCATTTTGGTCCCTGTCTCCGGAAATCACTGGCTCTCGCAGTCTCGCTGCCCCCCCCCCCCCCCTCCGCCGCCGCCGGCATCCTCGCCGTCGCTGGAGGCATGGCGACACGGCGGCCTGAGAATCCCCCACCGCCGGATCCTGCGGATCGACATCCTCACATCCCTCCTCCGCCGACGAGGTCAGCGCACCAAATCCCCTCGTTTTATGGCCTCACAGATCGATTCTGAAAGTGAATATGTGTGTATCTCTTTGATGCAAATCCGAGTGGTTACTGATGATTAGTTGCCGTAACCTCAACATATCATATCATCAAATTGGCTGTTGTAAAGAGCTGGTTTGGATGTAATTTGCCCCTTTCGGGGATTTAGGAAACAATATTACTACCAAATTGCAGAAACCTGCCTGAACTTTTTATCATGAGATTTGCTTTGGTCCAATAAAAAATACTCCGAGATACCGGTACCTCACGGTACCAAATCGTTTTCGATCATTGGATCCAGTTCGATTGGAAACGATTTGGTGCCGTGAGGTACCGGTATCTCGAGATACTTTTTGCTGGACTGGAGCAAATCTCGCAATTTAATACTCATATCGACTACTGCAAATCTATAATCATTCCCAGATTAATTATCAAATCTAGGAGAAGTGCGCACATGCAGGTTTCTGCAATGTAGCAGTGTTGTTTTTCACATTAACATTTTGTTATCCTATAAACATGTATGCACAAACAGAAATTCCTAAATCAACAACTATAAACATGTATGATAAAAGATTGCTGCATTAGGGTACTGGACAACTTAATTCGACAGCTTCTTTGACAATGGCAGTATCATTTCCTGATGAGTTTCATTTGAAATTGGATGATAACTTTGCTTACTGAAACTGCAATTTAGATCCTGAACTAATTTTCAGTAGTAAAATGGAATGAATAGATGAAGCATCTCTGTGCTTCATAGGTGAAAAAAAAAAAGACAATGCTGATATATCAAACTGCATTTCGGTAGTACATTCAAAATCATCAAGAGAACGGGTAAGGCTGTGAATAGATGATGTTTTTCTCATTATGAATCCTGGCTTTTTCTTCCTACAATTTGCTTTCTGCAAGATTTGTGCAGCTAGCTGCCTCCTTTCCTTTTTCATGTCATGTATCTGGTAGCATGAGGCAATGTTATTTGGCAAGAACAGATCAAGAGATCATGCATAGGAAATGCAATGAATGATGAAAAATAACTCTGATTTCACATGCACCAGAATTCATATGCAAGCACATCATATCCCCTGGACTCTGAAGAATCTGCATGAAGCCATGTTCAGACTGAGAGGTCCGAAGCATATATTTTTGTTCCGGTGTGCTTATGCATGTGCCCTTCTAAAAACCATAGATGAAAAAAAAATGTCTGGACTAACAAAATAAATATGCATTAGTGTATATATCAGAGTCAGAGATGACCATTTTGGATAAAATAGTTAGGCACCGTTGCTATATTAGAGCCTTGAGAATTTATTCAACCAGCAACAAACAGATGGTGATGATAAGTCACATGGATCAAACCTGCAGAGACCACAACAATGATCAATCTGCAAGTAGACTACAACGACAGTAGTAAAAGCAGCACATGTATATGAATCTGGCCGGAATTCATGGCCGGTCATTTCGACGTCGACGGATCGGCCGGCCGGCCGGCGGTGCATCACATGGACGGTGGCCGGAGGTAACGACGGCAGTGCCTAATCCCTTTTGCTTCCATGTCTTATTGTTTCAACACTCTGAGCTTACTGTCGCCTACTCACGTGAAGGCATATGTGATGCAAATTATACTATTAAACCTATTGTTTTTCAGGCCAACTGAATTGAGTAGTAGTAGGAGATATTTCCTGTGCTTGAACGGTGATTGGTCCATGCTTGAAACGAATAAGTTCTTTTATTTAATTACTCTGCCCAATTAGGGTCTAGTGCCAATAGGATATATAGCTAATCATATCAGAGATGTTTGTTAACTTGACTATTCTGATTCCAATCTTGTTAAAATATGTGTGCATCTGAATGTGTGCTACATGCATATGTTTGATCACCGGAGCTAGATGATAGATCATGTTACTGCCAAATTAAAGCCGCATTATTACATACACATGCCTTACATGGATATCAGCAGATGTCAGTTTTGAGAAATTGACAATAATTAACCGGCCAATCACGTGGATGAACTTCTTTTACTTGGTTGATCAAGCGACCACATAGAGAGGGAGTTGAACAAGCTGTTGATTATTAACTGCCCTATTTGTCTAGAAAATTAATTTAGTTTGCTTTCTCCAATGTTATCCTCCAGTAGGTGATGTAGGTATCTGCGTACACCATACACAATAGTTTTCATTTCCCTTCCCTAATCAACCAACCCTGAAATAAAATATAAATTTTTATAGTAATTAAGCCCTCTGATAGCGTGTGTATATCATTAGGTGTTCTTTCAGGTACATAGCTTGGATATTAGAAAAAATCATATAACATGTTACTTCAAAGTATAAAATAACCGGCCATCACGTGGAGGAAGGCTTAATTGTTGGTTGAGCCAATGCATGATTAAGTACATGCCGACATGTTAGTGATGTATATAGTTCTCCTTTCCCTAATCAATCGATTGATTTAAAGCGTTTTCTTGGCCTCTGATAGCGTGCTTAATTAGGCACTCTGTCAGAAGATTGATATATATAACTCATATAAGATATTAGGCTGCATTATTATTGACGGTCAGCCCATACCGCCCGGACACTGAAAAACCGTTAGTGGCCGGCCGCCGCGGAGACCGGTTTTCAAACTGAAATTGTTTTTGATGTTGCATCATAGTAGTAGAGAAATAATAATCATACATAGGCCTATTTGGTATGCAATAATAACCATAAGGATTGAAATGTTAACAGTAACTTAGAAATATTGCTACGAGCAAAAGCGTCATCGGACGAGAAATGTTGAGTATGTTGGCTAGGAAAATTGGCCTATAAACATCCTTGTATTTCCATCCCATAATATAAAGATATTATGGGATAAGTATATTCCGTAACCTGATTTGGGAAAATTTTTTTGGTTGGTATTGTGATAGAAAACCGTCTATGAATATGGCCTTTGTGAAGATTAGTTTCTAGTGTAGTCATCTCGCACCTCTTGATCGGTAATATTTGTGATATCCCAATAAATTAAAATTAAAGTAGAATAAGTAATATGGTACGTTGGCTAGTACAATAATGTAAGTAGGCTTAAACCCGCCATATATATTATCTAAGATATAATTGATGAATTCTACCTCCGTTCTATATTGCACTTTATATCGGGAAAAGTGCATCTAGTTTCACTTTACATCAGGTTTAGCTCATAGTTTTAGTTTGCACCGGGTCGCTTTCAAATAAGTTTCACTTAACACCAGGATACATCATCCAAACCTTTAGAAATTTCATCGAATTTTATAAGATATGGATGAAACTTTGTGAAGCATAGTCTAAATTCAAAACAAAGATCATAAGTTACCCGTTTATAAGATTTGGTGCAATTTAGTGCGAAATAAAAATTATTTTGATATATACCCTGATGTAATTTGAAAATATGTACTCCCTCTATCCCAAAATATAAGGCGTCCACGCATTTCAAGATTCTGACTTCGAAACATTTTGACCAACATTTAGTATAATATGAATTTAATTTTACTTGCTAAAAATTATATCATTGGATTGACATTTGAATTTCCTTTCATATGGTTATAATTTTGTTACTACAAATCTTATAATATATGATAAATTATAATATAAAGATTAGTTTTGAAGACCGTGCCAAGTTTGACCATGCCTTATATTATGGGATAGAGGGAGTACTATAAAACAACCTGGTGTAAAGTCCAATTTACATTTTAAAATACAAACATTTTTTACCATGCGTCTACATAAGTACTCCCTGGGTCCTAGGTTAATTCTTTTTAGGACAGAGAGAGTAGTTAAGAAGACGGGTCTGAATTAGTCTGGACTGGACTGGACTATATAGGAATGAACCTCTGAATCTCTGATCGCCGTACGTGTATCATGCGTATGAATGAGAGAGAGATTGATGATGATGAGCGAGCCCACTTGTATGATCAATCATGGAGATGGAGGGTACGTAGCTGCTGCTTGTCAACGTTGGATGGATCGATCAAACTGGTGTCTGAAATTTGAAAGGAAATGAAGGGAGGGCTCTGAATTAACGGTACATGCATGCAGTTGTTGGGTGGAAGAAGACGGCACATGGATCACGCGACGCTGCCGCGTGAGGATCGATCGCCCATGTGAGAGTGAGACACGGCCTTCTCCAGTTCCGTTCGTTCGCGCTCATCTCATGATACTGTCGTCCCAACCCCAGGAAAAACCCAACGTTGAGCGGAGCCCAAGCCACCGCCGCCGCCGAGCACGTGCACTCCCCACCTTTCACATTACCACTCCTCCATCTACGCATGAAAATTTAGTATTTGTCTAAGTAGGCTTAAAATTAATTCTGAGATGTAGTTAGTTTGTAGCTAGAATATAGAAAAGCCGGGGTTTTCAATTTTTGGTCTTAGTTCATTTTCTGAATTATACAATTATTATACTTTCTTAAAATTTAGAAAAAAAACTGAACTGTTTTTGAGTTTATGATTTTGGGAGAAACTGCGGCAGTCAAAAAAACTCCCCTAAACAAGTCCTATAGTATATATGTACTACTATGCGTTGTGAGTGTCTGCGTTGTACCGTGTAATTCTAAAAAAAAAAGTATGTACTATGTTGCATTATTAGAGCAGGTATAATAGTCTATAAGCTAGCTATAAACACATGTCAAGAAGATTAAATAGGAGAGAGAGGAGCAGTGGGCTACAGATCTGTAATCAGCTGCAGCACGGACTCCAATACACAATGTGTATATGACAGGTAGACCCATGTGTTAATAATGTAGTATATGTTTACAGATGACTATTGCATGAATTGGCTATTAAATTGACTATAAATGATTTTGAGCTGATAGTTGGCTATACTATTAAACTTAAACTTGCTCTTAGTATTATTCTTAGATTTCTATTCTCACTTTGTAATGTGATGGTGTAGTACTAGCTTAATTAATGCAACGGAAAGATTAAACTTTTGTAACTCTAAAAAGTTTAAAGACATCAGACAACACAAGTACCATAATAGAAATAAAAATGTATTGATTTATTGTATATATTATAATACAAAAAAAATATAGTATGGCTTCTCACCTCGGTTGATTGATTTTTGATCGATCCGCGGCATCAGCAAAACGTGCATCCCCACCAATCTTGTCTTCCGGATCTTGCCTCCCACCTTCCTCTCTCTCTCTCTCTCTCTCTTCATCCAAGAATCGCCCATGGCTATCTCTACTCTATATATTGCCCATCACCACCACCCACTGCAACCGGCTGTTAATTCGTTCCCCTTCTTAATTCAGTTCTTCAAGCTTTGCATATATATAAACACACATTCTGATCCATCTCACTCTCTCTAGCTTGTTAATTTCACACTCTCTTACTAGCTAGCTAACCATTAGTATCATCAATCAGAGAGTGTAGTAGTAGCTAAGCTAGCTACTGACCATCGATCGAGATGGGTTCTTGGGTTCGCACCATCACGTCGCCATTCAGGAAGGCACGCACCATCCTCAACCAGCAGGCGACCAACACCAGCGGCAGCATCGACGAGCATCATCATCGCCACCGCGCCAAGAAGCCGCGCCGCCACTCCTCCTCCTCCTCCGCCGCCGGCACGCCGTCGTCGTCGTCGTCGTCGTCGACGACGACGGCGACGCGCACCGGCGGCGACGTGGAGGAGGAGGTGGTGATGAGGAGGTCGTCGCAGCTGTACGGCGACGTGATGGCGTGCGCCTACGAGGACGTCCAGGTCATGTGGTCTATGCTCGACAACAAGTCCAGGCTCTGCGCCGCCGCCGCCGCCGCCACCTCCTGACGCCGGCCGGCCGGCCGCCATTGACCGGCGATCCATCCATCCATCCATTGCATGGAGATCGAGATGGGGATCGAGTACATACAGCCATTGCACCATCGTTGCAAATTTGCAGAGAAATGCAGCAGCATTAGTAGTTTACTAGTACTAGTCCATTTCATTGTTTTGATTTTCCATGTTGATTTGTGTGATCGATCGATCGGTCCATGGTCGAGTCTGAATCCCCATTTTTACCGGCAAAGCACCTCTGAATGCATGTGCGGTGCTTAAGCTGGATTAATGGAGAGATTTAATTTAATTTAACTTGAGCTTCAATTCACAACTTCCAACTACACTTGTGCTACCATAGCATCTACTATCAGATTCTTTTTCTTTTCTTTAGAGAGAGGGAGAGAGGGAGCATCTATCAGATTCTTGGTTAATTATTGTTTTCGAGGCAGCCATGTTCTCTGCTCCCTTTTTTTCCCCCTTTTTCTCGTCTCTCCTCTTTCGGTTTAGAGATAATGTATTCCTGCATCATCCGATCCATGAATTAAATTACTATATACTTCTTTTTTTTTAAGATCCAGTTGGTCGGTCGAGTTCAGGCTCAGCGAGCCTGCACCGACTCTGCTTTCTTTGCCCCTCCTCTTCTGTTCTTTACTTTTTTTTTTTTTTGAAATACAGGTTTTATAATGAAAGTAACTTCCGACCTTATCAAGTTCTTTCTTTACATCCATTATATTAAGTTGCCACTTGGTTTGGTTTGCCCCCATGGATTAGTTCATTTCAATCTCCATTAGAAAACTCTATTTTGGTTGTGCTAGCTGCTCAGTCTCTCTTGCTCTTGCAACAAACTAGGGGATGATGGCACACATTACCAAATGACTTGGTAGTCTCCTAGATAATGTGATAATGTTGTATACAAAATCTCTTTTTTTTAAAAAAAACAATATGTATAGTATTAATAATGTTGTAAACATAATCTCTTCTTTTTTCAAAAAAAAGTATACACAATAGTAATAATGTTGTATACATAATCTTTTAAATACTGATGTACACATTTTCTTTAAAAAGAAAAACAATGTTCTATACACATGCGTGGCTAACAACTTAGACTATAAGACCGAGAATGGTAAAACCACAACTTCAAAATAAAAACTCTAGGTCCCATCAAGACTACAATGCAGTATCATCTACGCATTAATTATAGAACTAAAATGATTAGTAGTACTAGGGATATAGATTTCTCCTAGAGCCTGGTTAGAACACAATTTGGTTCAAACAGCCATAGACCACTATTAAACAGTTAATTAATGACTTAGTGTTAATTGTGGCCGGTTATCAGGATAATGCATTATAACACATTGTGGTCCAAATCAACTCAGGTGTACACATATTTTTCAGCAACCCACAGAAACAAATCAACCATTAGCTAAGTGATACAAAAATGATTATTAACCCTTGCTTGTTTAAGTGATTTGGCCTTGTATATGTTAGCATATGCATGCCCAACCTGCGCAAGCATGCATTTGCATTTGCAGACAAAACACATAGACTACATTTGGGCCTAATCTTAAGTGGGCTAGGGTGTGTCACATATGCACCTTGTGACAATTAAGGCCCCATTCATAGAGAATGAAATTTGATAGTACTACCAAATATATGTTTCCTGCTTTGTGAATAAATCATGGGTAAATTGGAACATAATAATAATCGTACTAACACACAAACACAACTTCTTTATTGCACCTACCGTTTCACTAAGATACCTCTAGTTAAACTAACGTTACCGTATTAAATTCCAATCGTCTAGACACACTATGATTACAAAAATCTGCAAATTACTGTTTGGATTGTCATGCAGATGACTTGGGCTTGTCAAAGATTTTACTGTTAGTAATTCAGGTTTCAATTTTCCCATAAATCAATATATTGCCACATCAAATATGTTCAGGAATGCTAGGGACGGGATACCATACATCCCCCAAACGGGATAACCAGCTAGCATCATCACCGACTAGCAAGAGACTGTGAGAGGAAGCATCGATGGAAGCTGGCAGCAGGCGCGACCCCGTTCTTCTCTCCGCCATCCACGCGGACCATGCTCCCTCCGTCGGGCCCATCTTCCTCGTCGGCTCCTCCTCAACGAGGTCCACTTCTACGGCCTCCACGACCAACTCCTCACTGCCCTCTCCCCTCCACTCCTCATCGGCTTCTCCGCCTCTCTCGCCTCCACGCTCTCCTCACCCTCCAAGCCCTTTCCCACCACCAGCCGGCGGTGGCTGGTGAGAAGAGGGGCGGCGGTGGTGGTAGCCGGATTCGGGGGAGGAAGGGACGCCGGTGGTGGGAGCTGGATCTGGGAGAGAGAGCGGTGGCGGCGGCCGGAGCTGGGGGAGGGTGCGTCACCAAAGCCGGGGGAGGGAGCAACAGCGGTGGCCGGAGCTAGCGACGGAGGAGCGCTGGGGCGGTAGTGGTCGTCAGCATCGGCGTCGGGTATGTATCGCGTGATACTGATAAGTATCACCTGATATCTCGCAAGTATCACCTTCTGTGTGATAAGAATCGCATGATACCTGATAGGTATCACCTGATACCTCGCAAGTATCACCTTCTATGTAGTAAGAATCGCATGATACTTGATAAGTATTACCTGATATCTCGCAAGTACCATCTGAAACGTGGTAGAATCGCCTAATACCTAATATGTATCACCCGATACCAGACCTGATACCTAACCGGTATCATCCCGTTTGAAAACGGGATTCCTTTATATAGCAGCCCTCGATATGTTTCTGCACACATGAAATTGGCAACAAACTAAATCCTGAAAGTTATCGATAATAATCCATATAATACTGCCATATGAGCCTACCTGACAATCTTCAAAATTTTGTATGCTATGTAAAAGCACATAAAAGTCGATCATGGAATATTGCAAAGGCCAAACTCCTCGATATTAAAAACTGGTAAAATATTACGCACATGTGGGTGGACTTTCAACATAACTTTAGTAAGATCAGAGATGTACCGTTAGTTTTTGTCTCTTAGAGTATGTGTTAGGGGACACATCGTGTGTGGTGTTGCGTGTGTTTGCCGTGTAATAAAAAAATGGTAAAATATCTTCAAATATACTCCAGTTTGCATGCACCATTAATACATCGATAGAGCCAGATAGATGCTCTGTCCAAGGCTCGTGCATGAGGCCATTGACCTAGCCTGATTCTCGAGGATATATATATATATATATATATATATATATATATATATATATATATATATATATATATATATATATCATAAGAAATACTATCGTTCCTGACTTCCTGTAGAAAAAATTACTCCGTTTTAGACATTGACATGATTTAATTATGACATACTCCGTAACTTTTGAGACCTGTGATGATAAAATTTGATTAGTTTGTAACATTTAGGAAAAAAAAATACATTTCGAGACCATCATAGATTAATCCATACAATTTTACATGTCGTACACACATCATATCAAAATATTACAAAACATGTTTTTTTAAAAAAAAAATCGATAGAGCGCGCGCTAACCATGTTTATATGTACAAACCTTTTTTTTTTTGCGGTGAAGCAAAAAAACAACAACTTGTATTTGTGATCGTTATAATGAGTACTAACCAAAAAACTTGGCAATTAATAACAAGTATTGCTAGATCAAATCATCAAAGTCAAACCGTTGAAGATACTCACCTATACTTACTCTAGTCGCCGCCATGCATGCACATGTGGTCACGTTCTCTCTACTCCATAATCCATACTCCATCCGTTACAAAAATAAACAAATATAACACTGTATCTGTTTTTAAATAGATGACAGCGTTAACCTTCGGTTACATGTTTAACCGTTCGCTTTATTAAAGAAATTACATAATTATAATTTATTTTATTATGAGTTATTTTATCACTTAAAGTACTTTAACCATGATTTATATCTTATATATTTGTATAAATTTTTTAATTAAGATGAATGATTAAACATGTGTTAAAAGATCAACGGTATTTTCTATTAAAAAATAAAGTAAATATAAAATATGACACATCCTACTACTACTACAGCGAAATTGACGGTACGAAGGGATCATATAACTAGAAATGTAAAATTGTTCATCGCCATTTCTTGCATTTTCTCCATCAATAATGGCGGGACGACGACGACGCCCATTCGCTGCTCCGGTCATCAACTATCTCCTCCTAGCCCTGTGGCTCGCCGCGTCGTCGTCGTTCGCCGTCGCCGTCGCCGTCGCCGGCCATGGCCGCGGTCGCCGCAGCCATGTGTCGTCGATCGTGACGGAGGAGATGTACAACAAGTCGCTGTTCATCCACAAGGACGACGCCGCCTGCCCGGCGAGGAACTTCTACACCTACGCCGCCTTCCTCCGCGCCGCCGACCAGTACCCGAGCTTCGGCGGCGCCGGCGGCCGCGACACGCGCCGGCGGGAGGTCGCCGCCTTCCTCGCGCAGGTCTCCCACGAGACCACCGGCGGCTGGGCCACCGCCCCCGATGGGCCCTACACCTGGGGCCTCTGCTTCAAGGAGGAGCTCAAGCCGGCGAGCAACTACTGCGACGCCGCCGTCGCCGCGCGGTGGCCGTGCTTCCCCGGCAAGTCGTACCATGGCCGCGGCCCCATCCAGCTGTCGTGGAACTTCAACTACGGGCCGGCCGGCGAGGCGGTGGGGTTCGACGGGCTCCGGGAGCCGGAGGTGGTCGCCGGCGACGCCGTGGTGGCGTTCAAGACGGCGCTGTGGTTCTGGATGACGCCGCGGCCGCCGTCGAAGCCGTACTCGTGCCACGACGTGATGACGGGGAGGTACCGGCCGTCGAGGGCCGACGCGGCGGCGAACCGGACGGCGGCCGGGTTCGGGCTGACGACGAACATCATCAATGGCGGACTCGAGTGCAACAACCGCACCGGCGGCGATCCCCGGGTGGAGGACCGGATCGGATTCTTCCGGCGATACTGCGGCGCGCTCGGCGTCGATGTCGGTGACAACCTCGACTGCGCACACCAGTTGCCCTACTCATAATCGCGATTTGTTCATTGCTACTATTACGACATCCTTTTTTTTTGTTTTACTTCTTGATGATGTTTAATTAGTTTACTTGATTATGTTTCTTTCAATAATGCAAATCAAAAGTTCCAATAATGAAAAAATTGGTTAATAGGATCGACAAGTTTGCTTGAAAGAATGTGTTGTAGTGTATACTTCTCGTCTGTTCTAAATTACTCTTCATTCACCGTTCAAAAAAAATTACTCTTCATTCTACCTTTGTCTTATGAATTTGATACTCCCTCCGTTCTTACCTACCCCAAGACAAATAAAGTTTTCTTTACTTCTTGATGATGTTTAGTTAGTTTACTTGATATTATGTCTCTTCCAATAATTCTAAATTAAGTTTCAATAATGAAAATGTTGGTTAACAGGGTCGACACATTAGCTTGAAAGAATGTGATGCGCGTGTATATACTTTCACTGTTTTAAATTACTTATTCGTTCTAACTTTATTTTAATTTGTCAAACTCCATCGATGACCATCAATTTTTAAAAATCGTACTTCACCTCACGCTCTGTCCATAGCGTAGTGCGTGGTTTACTGACACGGCAAGGCAATTGAATGCAAACATTTCACTCTCTTCATATCAAGAGTGATTTGGACAACAACATTTTGCAAACACACGAAATTCAATTTAATCGCAACTTAGCAAGAATACACAATAGCCGGTCCGACCCAACATAAATTTACCGAAGAAATTTCAGCTAAATCAGACACAAGAGACATCTTGTACCAGTAGTGCAGCTCTGAAAGTCTGAAACTACTGCATCTGAAGCGTCGGCCCTTTCAATAAACCTGAAGAAAAGCTAACCTGGGCCGTCAACCTCAACCCCCCGTGAGGAGAATTTCGGCCCATCCAAAGAAGGGGCCCACGGGAAGAGAAAAATATGGCAGCCCATAAAAGTCCATGTAAGCGAGAGGGCCCACTTGAATTCTGCCTCAATCACTCTGAAGATAATCACGTTCCAACAAACCTGATATTATTTGGCTATTTTAGTGACGCGAACCAAATCCCAAAAAGAAAAACAAAAGGTTTTTTCAATGGATAAAGGGGAAAAAAGAGATAGCGATGAGTGCAACTTTATGATCCAAGTTGATGCTCCTTTTTATTAAAGGGATTTGAGTGAGATAATTGTACTAATTATCTGCAATTATGACTACATTCAGAGCACTCTTGAGCAGTGCAGGCACAATTATTGATTCAGTTCCAGTGTTGGAACAAGATATACAGACAGACAGGGAAGCAAGTCTCAAGCTCTCAATAATCAAGTTTACTAGTAAAACAAGTCATAGATAGATATACATAAGAGGGGAGCTTATTCACACGAAAGCAACAGATTAACAGCAAGAGATTCTACATATCATCAAACATTAGAGGAAGAGACTGGGGGGACATTGAAAATGACTAGATGACAAGAATTGGAGCACTCAGGACTGAATTTTGGATGCATATATCATTTCCAAATTCCAACAAGCACACGGCAATCGAGAAGATAGATGAAGCGGTTTGGAGCCCATCCCTGCATACATACATCCAGAAAACAAAGGAAACTTTAGATTGATATGTGTGGAAAAATATTAAGTGAAGTTTTGATGAATTAGCTAGGAGGAGGTAGATTAGGGAATTCGATTTCACTACTTCACCTTGAGGATTTGGTTGATGATGTAGTAACTAATGATGAATTACTTGGTGATGGCGTAGATGGCGTAGATGATGCCGGGGATGTAGCCGAGGAAGGTGAGCAACAGGCAGATCCAGAACTCATGCTGCATATATATGTGCAAGTTAATTAGCAAGAGCAAATCGATCGACCAAATTAAGCAAAAGGCATGGAAGAAACTAAGGTAACAGAGAGTAATTTAATTAGGTACTCCATAATTACCCCGCATCCGAACTTGAGGAAGACGCCGAGGGGCGGGAGGATGATGGCGATGAGGATGTCGATGCAGTTCGCCGTTCCCGCCATCTCTCCTCGATCAAAAATTGATAGTAGATGAACACTCTACTGATTAATTTCTCTCGCAGTATTACCAACAGCAACAAGAACAAGAAGAAGCAGAAGCAAAATAGCTGCAAAGTAAAGTAGCAGTGGGCAACTCTGAACTGCAACTGATGAACTGACTGGCTTTGGCTTTGGCTTCCATATATTTATACTAAGAGAAGACATGGCAGAGTGCCACGTACTTGTGGGGACTAGCAAATTAAGCTACTTCATTCACTGCACGAGACGCGCTCGATCACCGGCCAAATTGCCTTCGCGTCGAAATGATCACGCGGTAGTGACGCGTTGCCTGCTAACTTTGTCTCTTGTTTGCCTGAATTTTGGCCGATTTCTTAGCTGTTAAGCACGGGCGTTTTTGGCATATAGTACATGTACATATATACGAAACCAGGACAAATTCATTTCCTCGATTTCTTTGTTTCCTACAGCTTTTTTTTCCTCGCAACAGTCAAGGTTTATACGCTACATAAAAGCTCGACAGTTTTCATCCGATCGTATTAGGAGGAAAAAAGTTGTCTGTCTGTCTGTCTCTTTCAAAGCACTAGCTTAATTGCACGATCGTCGTATACAGAATCATCACAGCTTGTTAGGGAGGGACCCTGCAGCAAATCAATGGCCTTTGTTCCCTCCACCATCTCAAACGAATATTGTTTTAAGAGGAATATGTGTCTTTTTCTTTCTTTTTTACTTTTCGTTTAAAGCATGGACAAACTATGTATTCTACTGTTCTGTGCATAAATGCCTAAATGGATGGAATGTTGAACATGAAAATGATTCGAGGATACAAACGACTGAATTGATTAGTTGTGAAACAGATTTTAAAACTATATTATAAGAAAGAAATTACACATAAAAATTTCTCTAAAAATTTATACCATTTAGATGCTCGAAAAACGTACGTTATTGTTTGTTCCATCCAGGTCAAACAGAGGCATCTGGATATGCAAGGTGGTGTCATCGTCAAACACGTCGCTGCCATGCTAGCTAGCTGCGACGGATTAGAACACGATTTCATGTGTCTACCTCTGCTTCTGCCACGACACTAGTTGCAAGGAAGCTTCTCTTCTGCACTGTCATCGACGGCACAAATCTTCCAACCAACTCGATAGAAACGTATGGATGTGAATCATACAGGCAAGATATATACTGATCCAATTGATTTGACAAATTCTCGCATTGATGTACGAGTATCAGCGATTAGTCTCATAATTAATCCATGGAAGCAGCCAAGGCCCAACTGAACTGGCTTAATTAGTAGGCCTAAACACTGACGGCCTATAGACCCACTCCTTCCAAACACACAACAAGCCCAAAACATGGTCAATACTATTAGCAAAGTGAAGAGGAAAGCTCCAGGCAGTTTGTGAATCTATGCAGTTCTTTTTTTAAATGAGCACAACACATTAAACATATACAGAATTACAGATATAACATAGAAACCTTACCTAGTGCTCTCTCAGTGGCTTCCTCAGATCTGCAGCCACAACTCACAACCAGCTGAAAGGTTTGCAGACAGCATTGGAGTTACATGGGTTAAAAGGCTCTCATCCTTTTTTTCTTCCAGCCTCTTGCTCAACATGTAAGGATCATCAGATGTAGTAGTGCTTAAAGCTTCAAGTCATACATTCCTAGCAACAGTTATGTCCGGTTACAACTTCAAGTCAAGAAGAATGCCCACATAAAATACTCATGATCATTAGTACAATATTTGGATTCACTGATCATCCCTCACCTGGATTTAATTTCCTCTGTTGAATCAGTTAGACAGTTACTCCAATTTCCTCATTAGGCACGACATCAGTACAACAGCTATCCAAATGGGCCGGACCCAACAGTGCCGGCATGGGCACGAAGGGACTGTAGCGGCCCATGGCCCGACACGACAGAAAATTGGCCGTGCTGGCACGACGCCGCGCCGTTCTTGGGCCTCCACCCCGGCACGGGCCTGGGCCGTGACGTGAAGGGCGACCCATTTGGACAGCGCCGTCGCGTCGACGGTGTTGGGCGGGCCTCGACTCCCCGTCCGTCTCCGTCTTCGTCTCCGGCGCCGATCGATCTGCTCCCACCTACCGGAGCAAACAAACCAATGGCTTCCACCAACGAATCCTACTTCGACTGCCGCGAGTACCGCCGCAAGGCCGTCTTCTTCCTCCGGTGCTATGCCCTCTCTACATCGTGAGTTTTCATCTCTTTTTTTTTTTTTGACATTTAACTTTAGGTCACTTTTAAGATGTCCAGTAAGTTCAATTTTACACAAAGTACCTTTTACTTATTGAAAATAACAAAAGATGGAATTGAGCAAAATGTTGAAATCTAGGATGCTACCATTGGCTAATGTGTTAATAAACACTTATGTTTGTGTAGTAATGTTTAGTTCAAAAGGACCTCACTTTGATTTGTTTTGTTAAGCGGTGCCTGTTTGCTTGACTCTCGCATCTTAGAGTGGGAACTGGAATATCATGCTCCCATTCGTAAATAATCAATCTTTATTTGATCTCTTCTTTCTGATGATTCTGATTCACTACCACTTGTACGTTGTATATTTACAGGAAAGGGAAACTGCAAAAACTATTTTGCAAGGGCTAAAAAGAGCAAACTCAGTACTTCGGATGATGGATATCTACCATTTTGCAATGTAAATTTGACTCGCAGATGCAAGTTATTTAGGTGGAAAACTAAGGTGGTAAGTGAAATGCACAAGAGGAAACCAATTCTGAGCTTTATAATGTGATCCTTATCGTCTATATCCTTGCCAGAGAACTCCATATTGCTGGAGATTTTGACCTTGTGTCTGCATGATGATCGCTTCCAGTTGCTGAAGCTTGGTAAATTAGTAACACTAGGCGCCGGAAATTGCTGCTTGTTTTCTGCTAGGTTCTGTTTCTATGGATTTTCTTCACTAGATTGCTTTGGTCTGTGTTGCGGCTCCCATGGACTAGATATGCTGCTTGGAAGATTTGCCTTGTCTGGATTCCACTTCTTAGGCCCTGTTTGGTACAGTTCCAACTCCTAAATTTAGCTCTAGGAGTTGACTCTGTAGTGGAGTTGTAGAGCCGCCTAAACCCAGCTCCACAACTCTAGTACATTCTGTGAGAGAGCTCCACCCAACTCCACTCCTAATTTTAATGGAGCTGAAACTGTTTGGCTGAGCTCCAGCTCCAGGAGGGGTGGAGCTGGAGCTGGAGCTGGAGTTGTGCCAAACATTCTTGCTTGACATGATAATCGTCCATGTTCTCTTCTTCAATAGTTCCAGTTTTGTCAGTTTTATTCTGTCTGGCACATATCATCAGAATTTGTTAGAAATGGCCCTGCCATGAGAATCTGTTTGACCTTGCATCACTTGAGACTGAAGCTGGGAAAGTATACACACTAAAACTTTCCCTTCCTTTTTTTTTTGCTTTTTGCCAGGAAGTTCAGTGGAACTTAACATTGGCATGGCAGTCCGTGAATTGAAGTTTACTCTGCACTTAAAGCAATAAGGGATTGACCACCTGCATGCATGCTTGATTTCTTGCATTTAGTCGTCATCACTCAATGACATAATTGACATTTCCTTCTGAATGGCCAAACTTGGTTAATTTGCTTCAGGAAATTAAACTCTACTTGCTATAGGGAAATAAAAGAAACCTACTAGTTAGTACTAGGAATAAGTTCACCGGAGGTCCCTCAACTTAACAACGAGATTTTTTAAGGTCCCTCAATCACAATACCAGAAATGTTCACCCCTAAAGTCACTAAAACCGTTCACCGGAGGTCCCTCGGCAGTATTTTTGCCCGGTTTTACTGACGTGGCATCCTAGTCAGCAAAAAATTAAAAAATAAATATGTGGGGCCCATATGTAAGTGACACAAAAATGTGGGGCCAACAATCCTAGTCAGCAATCTTCTCTCTTTTCCTTTCTCTCTTCTTCTCTTTCATTTTTAGAGGAGGAGCGGTGTCGGCGGGCGAGCTAGGCTGCATAGCGTTGGCGGCGGCGGCAGGCGGTGGAAAGTGTAGCGGCGGGCGAGAGCGGCCGCAGAGGGCGAGCGGCAGCGCGCGGCGGCGCGCGGCCGGAGCAGGAGAAGGGGCGGCGGCGTGGCGGGAGAGGGGGAGAGAGGCGGCTGGGACAGCGGCGCTCGTCATGCTCCAGCTCTTCATCGCCGGCGTCGTCGTCGTGTTGGTTGACCTCCTCCATGAGCGTGGCAGGCGGAGCAGCGGGGGGCGAGTGCGGCGGAGCAGCTGGCCTGGTCGGCGAGCGGCGGGGGGCAAGTGCGGCTGCGGAGCGGCGGTATGCGGTCAGCGGCGACCTCTTCGCCGATGCGGCGCGCCACCCCCTCTCCCGCCAGCCTCATCTCAGCCCTTGATGCCGCCCTTCTTTTTCTTCTTCGGCCGCGAGGGCATCGAAGGCACTGAAGGATCTCACGCCGCCGCCACCGCTGCCCTTCTTCTTCTTCTTTTTCTTCTTCTTCTTCTTACCGGTGAAGACGAGGTTGATGGGTTCCTCGTCGTCGTCGTCATCCCCGGGCGGGGTTGATAGTGGATGCAGATGAGGTGTTCGATGTAATGCCGGGGTGGTTGTTTGGTGCAGCAGAAGGACAGCGGCGGCGGTTCAGGGCGATCCTGCGGGCGACGAGCAGGCGGCGGAAGCGGGCGCCTGACGTGAAGAGCTTCTCGCACGAGCTTAACATGCGCGGGCCGCTCCTCCACCGGCTGCAGCAGCGGAAGCCGCGCGTGTGCGTGAACAGTCCGGAGGAGTTCATCGGCGCCATCAGGACCAAGTTCATCAGGCTCAAGGAGGAGGTCGACGCCGAGCTCGGGGTGTTTGCCAGGGACCTCGTCGCCGCGCTCGACAAGGCCGACGGGGGCGAGGAGCGCGTCGCGCTCGAGGACCTGCTCGTCGTCGCGCAGCGGTGCGCCGAGATGAGCCCCGAGGAGCCCCGTCGCCGCCTGCCTGCTCCGCCCTCCGCCGCTCGCCCGCCGACGGCGCCGCTCCGCCTGCGTCCAGGCGCACGCCGCTGCCGCTCCCCGTTTGCGCTGATTGCTGACTAGGATTGTTGACCTCATTTTTTTTTTTGTCACTTACATGTGGGCCCCCACATATTTATTTTTTTATTTTTCGCTGAATAGAATGCCACGTCAGTAAAACCGGACAAAAATACTGCTGAGAAACCTACGGTTTTAGTGAGTTTAGGGGTGAACATTTCTGGTATTGTGGTTGAGGGACCTTAAAAAATCTCGCTGTTAAGTTGAGGGACCTCCGGTGAACTTATTCCTTAGTACTACTACGACAAATTCTGGGCCTTAAGGCCATGAAATTGGGCCTGCTTTGGCAGAATTCAATCTGGGCCACAATTTCTTCTCG